TAGAGTATTCGGCCTGGTTGAGGCGGCCTGTCATATCACATGGTAAGCATACAGCCCGGCAATGATGGATAGAGGCAAGGGGGACGCCATAGGAGCCCCCCGTCATCATCGTTTGTAGAGTCATACCAGTCAGGAATTCCGTAGTGGATTCTTTGTATATCAGCCATTGCTCAGGGCTAATGGCGGCTTTGAGGGCGGTATAGAGCGGTTCAAGGTCAATTCGAGACGGTATGATCTGGCTGGTCTTGACAGCCTTCTGGGAGCCCGGCGCCGTGAGCGTCAGCGACTTTGTCGATAAAACAGGCGTCGAAACGCTGACGGCCGGGCGGCTCAGGGCCGCGGGGTCGATGTCGGGCATCGCGGATCGCGGAGAGTCGACTGGCGTTGTCGCGTGCGGCGGTTGAGCGGCGCGCAACGCGAGAGCAGGATCATGGGGCGGCAGGCGGGATCAGAGACACCATGCGATCGCGGCAGTGCGGTTATCTTGATGAAAAATGCATGGTGAGGCCGCAAAGCTGATGGCGTGCGTTGTGTGGCTCTGGCTTGCGGGCGGTGCGAAGGAGTCGAGCTGGTTGGAGTGAAGTCGGAAATTTTGCCGCAGGAGTGACGGATTCGGAGGCATGTACTTTGCAGCGCAACCGCGGCGGCGGAGGTAGCGGGTACCCCTTGGTTGGGCGGAGGCTTGCCGCTAGCCCAGGTTGCGGCTACCTTGTTGTTGGCGAGACAGCCCAGCAGCTACATCCCACTCTTTAGACGTCAGCGCGTCTCTTCAGCGCGTTGAGAGACAATACCTTAGAAGGCTCACCTCCTCGCTTCGACTTGACTTGACTTCACCTTACCTCTCTGTCGACATATCCCTTCAAGTCACTGCTTCTTCACCCCCTTTTTGTTGCATTCTTCACTCTCTTTTCAAGTCGTCGGTGGCCTCAACAATGCAGCCATGGCACCAGATCGCGTCGCTAATGCCCTCGACAATCTGATAACCCAAATCGTCCCCTCTAGAGGCCCAAACGAAGGCCAGGACTCTTGGCTGGCACGGTATAACCTGAGCCACGAGCTCGTCAGGACAATAATAAACAAGTAGGCCCGTCTCCTGCAGAGCTGTTAGTGCTCGGCTTGCTCAACAACCATCTGTCATAGTCCCCCCGATCCCGACATCTTATCGGACGTCGACCGAGCCGCCGACAACATCAAACGGAAGCTCATCCAGAGCAATCCCTCCCACGCCCTCAGATTCTCAGACCTCTACTCCCGACTGCTTGCGCTCCCAGTGCTCAAGTCAAAATGGGCAATCCTATATCTCCTCTACGCTCTTGCCGACTCCCCGGATCCTAGAGCCCCGCCTCCCCCCCTCAGCATAATCCAGCCCTCTTCCTCAAACTATCGCGAGGCCGTTGCGCGAGATGCAGTCAAGAAGCGGGCTAGGGCCCGCTCCAAGTCTATCCCTCTCGCAAGGATCGAGGACGAACAGATGAGAGATGCTCCCGCCGCCGAAGAGCTGCCGCACAAGCCAGCACACCAACCACCCAGAGAACCGAAGCGCGGCGCCGACGAGAGACAGCCCCAGAGCGAGCCCGTGAGAAGAGATGTGTCAGTCAGGTCTAGTCTGCTATCGAACAACTACGCCGAAATCGAGCCTTCCGAGACGGCCATTCTACGGGATCTCCCATTCACACTACAAGGTGTATCATCCACGACCCTGCCCTTTTCGAAAGACGATGTCCTGAAGCTTCCGGCTACGCTTCCTCTACCACTCGTATCGATTCTGCACACTCTGGCTGAGCCCTCGTTGCTGTATCGACGCCTCCATAACTTCTGCCAGACCCCCGCCAATGGCCTTTTGGCTCAGAGCCTGCGCTCTGCGATTAGCAACGAGCTACGATCATATCTAACATTGGTCGCGACCCTCGAGGGCCAGATCCGAAAGGCACTTTCTTCCCTGGACGAAAGTGCACCCAGAGGAGGGATTGGAAAGACGGGCGTCACATTGAAAAGATGCGTGGTATGGACGCGAGAGGCTACAATGGGACTGAGACTCTTAACTCTCATTGCCGAGGAGTCTGAAGAGAAAAAGGGCGGCCAACTTATTACCCTGATACACAGCTTTGCTTCCTCCAACGGAGACCCCGTGGTCGCCGCGTTTGCGGAGCGGCTGTTGGGCAGCTTCACTCGGCCTTGGTACGGCATCCTCCGCCACTGGATCTATGACGGAGAGCTGTCGGACCCGTCACTCGAATTCTTCGTCAGGGTGAAGAACATTAATCAGGAGGCTGCGAGAGTCAAGGGCAATGTCTGGGAGGACCAGTACGAGATGGCCCAGGACATGATTCCGAGCATCATTTCGCAGGAATTTGCCCAGAAGATTTTCCTCATCGGCAAGTCACTCAACTTTATCCGTCACAACTGCGGCGACTCGATGTGGGTCGAGGAATACTCCAAGGCTGCTTCCAAGGAGCTTCGGTACGGCGACACGGCAACTGTCGAGGTATGGATCGATGAGGCGTACAAGACAACTATGAAGCGCTTGATGGACTTGATGGAGACAAAGTTCCGTCTGTTCCACCACCTCCAGGCCCTCAAAGACTACATCTTACTGGGAAAGGGCGACTTCATCGCCCTGCTCATGGAGTCCCTTGCTGCGAACCTGGATCGCCCTTCTGGCGCACAGTATCGGCACACTCTCACAGCTCAGCTGGAGCATGCCATCCGCGGCTCAAACGCCCAATACGACTCTCCCGAGGTGCTGCGGCGGCTGGACGCCCGAATGCTCACGCTGTCTCACGGCGACATTGGCTGGGACTGCTTCACCCTCGAGTACAAGATCGATGCGCCCCTGGACGTGGTCGTTACCGAATGGGGCAACCGGCAGTATCTCAAGGTGTTCAACTTCCTATGGCGGATCAAGCGGGTCGAGTTTGTGCTTCTGTCGACGTGGCGGGAGTGCATGACGGGATCTCGGCGAGTGCTACAGAGCCCCAACCAGGCGGTGGTGCAGACGTGGAAGTCAACGCGAGGCGTGCTCGCCGAGATGATTCACTTCGTGGGCCAGCTGCAGTACTACATCCTGTTCGAGGTCATCGAGTCCTCGTGGGGGGAGCTGCAGAAGCGCATCCGCAAGGAAGACTGCACGCTCGACGACGTGATTGAGGCGCACAGGCGCTACCTCGAAGACATTACGCACAAGGGCCTGCTGGGGCCCAAACTCCGCCACCACCCTTCCGACAACCGGGACCAGACGACGTATCTGGACCAGCTCAGCGAGATCCTGCGCTCCATGCTCAACTACCGCGACACCGTCCTCGGCCTGTACGGGTGGACCAGCTCAGAGTACACCCGGCGACAGGAGGCCGAGCTGCGCCACATGACGCGCCGCGACGATGACGGCGGCCTCGCAGCCTCGGACAACAGCGTGCCGTCCGAGTTCCCCGCGCTGCAGGAACGCCTGCGGCACCTCGGCGCGTCGTTCCGCAACAGGCTGCAGATTCTGCTGGGCGACCTGGCGTACCAGCCCGACGTCGACATGCGGTTCCTGGGCGTCGCCATGAACTTCAACGACGTGTACCTGCCGTCGAGGAGGAGGTCCAAGGCGCTCTCGGTGTCGGCAGGGGCAGCAGCGGCGGCCGCGGCTCCTTCTGCCTCTGGTCCGGCACTGACGGGCTCGTCAAAGGGCCCAGCATGAAGTCACTGAGTTATACGAAGTGTGGAGGCCAACCCAGATACCCAGTCGCTACTATCGCTTTGTATGTCTACTCGAAGTACTAGTACCTACTTATGTTGAAAGCAAGGGGGGAGGAGGGAAATGCATGATGATACTCAACAAACTTTGATGTTTCGGGTGCAAGGAGTGACGATGGCATGATATGATGTTCTATGATTGCATCTAGAGTACTCAATGAGCCCTTGCACGAAAGTGCCGACCTCCCAGCTTCGGTGCGCCGGTGCGACACTTGTCAACCATATCAGCTCCGGTTTCGAAGAAGAAGAGGGCTTGTCATGTAGCAGCGAGTACTAGCTCGAGAATAACGAGAAACACTCCATCTACAGAGTCTCCCTCTCCCCGTGTCCTTTCGCAGGCTTCGCTTATTGCGGCCGTCTAGTAAGGTAGTACCTTCTTTGCCTCGCCTACCTAGACTATGTACCGCCCAGATCGAAAAAACTTGATCTGGGCCCCTGGCGTTCCGTGTCTTAGATGCGCATGCACGATAAAAGCCCCGTGCTTCATGCAAGAAATGGGGCCTGTTTACGGGGCGATCACCTTGTGCAAGATTGGTGCAGAGAGTCACTGCGTGCGACATGACACCCGCATGGTAGCCCTCCCATGTCATAGACATGCCACGGCATTACATAGAAGGTGGATGTTCGTGCCCATCGCCAAGTGTTGTTGGTTCGGAATAGAGCAGGGAGAAGGGGGGAGAAAGGGGGGAGGGGATCGGGATTCGAGATAGTAGTAGATCTTGCTCGTGGCCGATGTGTAGAGACAGGATATTGAGTTGGATGACGAGTACTCTATGGGTGCGTAGCATTCCAGACCATCTGGTCCAGCCAATGAGATCGGAAACCTCTTGTCTACTCGGCCCCTTGGATGATGATAGCTCATCCGCAGGGAAGCTTTGGTAAGACATGGGGTAGAGAGCCTACTGCAGCAATGGTTGAACGAATCCCAATCTACCTCGCATGTAACCGCAAAAGGCCGAATACCCATAGGGGGGGAGGAGTTGAGAGGCCAACCACTAGTATCGCCGATAGTCCAAGTGTCAATCCAATGAAAAACTATCGCGACTCTCTTGATGAGAGGCAAGTGAGACAGTAAGACAACTCGTCCAATAGTAGATGGTAGTCTGCATCCTGCTCCACGGTTCGTGCTGCTGCTTGCTGCTAGCTGCTAGACATCTTGGCAGCAGCGCAAAACAGGACGAGCTCCTCCAATCGATCCGATACGGCCAGTCCTTGATGTTGCACCAAATTTTATGTGGTCTTCATAGACTATCCTTCAGGAGGCGGCGCTTTTGGCCGTATTATCGATATGTTCAGGTCGGAAGGGATGAGTACCCGAGTGAGACGCACAGAGGTCTCGAAAGGAGTCGGCTCAACCTGCTTTGCTGACAGCATGAGGTCACCAAAACTGGCAGCTGTCTTGAAACCAAGTGTGCAATCCTCAAGGATCTCAAGAGATGGCCAATCCAAGGTGCAATAGCGAAAAAAGAAGAGGCCCGATTTGAGTAAGACCATGAGCAGCTAGTCTTTGTTGGCCCACATTCGCAACATCTGCTTGACAAACCGAACAAGCTTGAGAGGGTTGATTGCGTTGTGTTGGCGCACAGCATATGGACTTTCGACGAGAGGCCGTAGTACGCAGGGAGGGAGCAGGTCCGTCGACCTGGACATTGTGTCTTGCAGAGCCGCATCGCTTGAGCTAATCCAGTTGTAGTAGCAACAGTAGGCGGTAGCCTGGCCGCATTTGACTACCAGGCGACATTAGTTGGCAGATGAATCGATTCGCGAGCAGATGGCCCCGACTCTCATGACTGTCGTAATCTTCTAGAAAGGAGGTGCAGCCAGGATCCTTTACCTATATGCATACATGAGTATTCCGCCAGGAGACCTGGTGCCGTCGCCAGTGTAGCCTGTAATTGGAAAAAACGAAGCCTGGCCGGCATTACTCGTGTACAGTGCTACTACTACGAGTACCCAGCACTGTCCCGATATGAAGCTTCCATAGGAATTCTAGAAAAAAATGGTCAGCGTCGGGGAAGCCGTGGGAACTTCCCCTGGTCCCTTTTCCTCCCTATTATCAGGCAAGCCGGGGTAAGGGGGGCCCGGAGATGGTGGAGCCATGTCATGGAGGTCGACGCAGCGTCTGGATGTGCAAGTAATACTCGTAGGCCTCTGACGACCGTTTCTGATGATATTATGACATGAATGTGCTTACATGGCCCGTCTTTTCGGTCTGGCCATGAGTGGTAATCGTGTCATAATAATTGATGAAGACTCGTTCGGCGGATTCGGCCACCCTTCATCTGTCGGCTTGCCACGTCAGGCCCGGGTTACGCTGGGCAGCATCGCCAGCGAGTGGGAACATGGATGCTGCCTCAGACGAGAAAGTAACTTTCGAGGCAAACAGGCTGGCGGCAGCAATCGGGTGAATTTGCGTCTAGGCGGCAGACGCATTAATGCCCTCGGGCGGATGGATGGGTGCCCTATCGGCGCTCGTTTGCTGTCCAGGACTCTTCGTGTTGTCGCAGCTCTTGGATGGAATCGTACAAAGTCCCTGGCGCGATCTTGCTCTGCGGGTTGATGTTGTTGGGGGCACGAGAGGGATGCCTGCCTGTCCGCTCTCATGTTGTCTGCCTCGGCCTCCGTTGATACACCGTTAGGAGCCACGTCCTGCTTGCTCGTACGAAACACGTTGTGCGCTCGAATTCTCGGTACCAACAGCAGGGCAACGCTCGAGCCGCGAGTTGTTTGTCCACTAGGAGATCCGTCAGTCCTCAAGGTACCTGTACTTGGTGCGAGCTCGACAAGAATCTTGCAACATACGGAGGGCCACATTCCGTGCCTTTGCGCTCCGCCCAAGCGTCGCCTAGGGCCCCAGAAAGACCGCCCGAGGAAATCCGCCGAGCTCAAGTTGTTCTCGTACGAGCACCAGCAGCAGCGCTCGCACTAGCAGCAAGCTTCGATTGCTCTGTCTCTCCCATGGCTCGCTCACTCAGACACTTGCGCTGCTTCTCCCCCTTGTCGACCAGCAACCCTGCAAGCCGGTCTTGTCCCCACAATACCCCAAATCTCCCAATTAATCGGAACGCCGGGGCTACTCCTCTAGTCTAGCAGCTTCTGCGTGCGGTCCAGAGAAGATCCCGGTCGTGACGGGTTTCGTTTGCCCAACGCTTGGGACTCTTCGCAAGGTGGTTCTGTGTCAGTTTGATTAGTGGCATTGGCGACGTGTACAGGCATGAATCAGACAGAGAAGGGCGCTGAAATGACGGGATGAGAAGAGCTTTCTGGAGACACGAGGTGCTACCAAGGTCAGCTTAGTGCGCGTTCTTTCGTGAGGAATACAGGGCAGGGCAACTCCAGGTTTGTGCCTGCCAGCCCAAGGCACAGAACAGCACGGAAACCAGGACAAACGGGAAGGCACTCGCACGATGGAAGGCGCGTTGGTGTTAGTATAACGCCTTCACGGGGTATTTCGGGATCCAGCTTCGGGGTACGAGCCGATGGTACTGCCCGTGGTTGTATTGGTACCTGCCAGGCAGCTGAGGGTTGGCAGCATTTTTGGTTCACAAACTTTGATCTTGTTCATCCAGGGCGTCATCAAGGTTGTTTTTCCGCCTTCCCCAGCCGCACGCCCCCCCTTTTCCCGCTTCTCATCCAAGCTCTGCTTTCTCGCACGCCCCGTGGCACTCTCGGCATAAGGGCTCTCTCGTGCCTGGTACCTGTGTGGCTGATGCCACGGCTGGCGAAATTGCCAGTAGAGACACGGAAAACGAGTCCGACTTGTTCTCTGGACAGCACGTCTCTGTCCAGAAACGCTATTGATGGTGGTACAGCACGACTAAATACATGCCTGAAGCCGGCGATGGTGCTGGGAGTGAAATTCCCATTGATGAATTACTGCTGCTAGTACTACTGCATGCCCCGTACTGTACCTCGTACTAACCCTCGCACACACCCCCCAAGCTCCATGTTACCTTATGCAGCTTGCCACAGCATCCCCGGATTCTCAAGAGTTTCCCCGGAGCGTCTCTCGTGCGCCCCAACTGGTGAGTTCTGACCCCCATGCCTGAGTCGCACCCCGTCAACACTCTGCCAGCGCCGACCAGGTACTTTTTTGCTTTTGCGACTGCATAAGAGGGCGAATTGGCTGTTGCCGACCTAAGGTACTATACAGACGGCGGTACCAGCACGAAGCTTCCACTACTAACCGCACCCCCCCAAAACTCCCGTCTCTCCCCTTCAAACAGCTCCTCTGCTCTTACACGCCCTCCTCGTCTGGCAACCGCCCTTCCGCCCCTCCGTCTATGCCTTCTTTTTTTTCTTTTTTCCCTTTTCCTTGTTCCTGTTCCATTATCTTTCCCTGCCATGGTTTAGGTCTCGATCCCCGACTGACCTGCCCGCTCGCTTTATATTTCAGCCTCTCCTCCTGTCTGCCCTTCTCGGTTGATGACCAAAAACAAACAGAGGCCAAGATCCCTTTTCTAGTTCATACTCTCGCCTAAGCTGGTCTTTGCTCCAAAGGCCCCTTTCCTCTCACAGCAATCCATTATTGCCCTTGTTCTTGTCTGCTGAGATATCAACGGGTTCTGAGGCGCCGTCTTGCTCTTTCTCTTCTTCTGGCACCGGAATACCGTTCGTTATCCGTGCTGCTGTTCTCTATCGGCGACTATTTCTCATCCGCCACGAGCATCTGATCGAGCCGTCGACAGACTTCTCCATTCTACAGGAATTTCTTCGTGCTGCAAACGACCCTTGATACAGATCTGCCGGTCCAAGAAAATGTTGGTTCTCTCATCTCTCTCTCCCTCGCCCGCGGTCGACCTCTATAGTGCTAACTCTTCCATCCTAGCTTCATCGCCCAACTCTCCTGCGTCGACCCAGCTCGTCGCCATTCTCATTTTAAACCCCCACGACACATTATACCCCACAAAATACCGACAACATGTCAAGCAGTCAGATCGCGGCGCCTTTTGCTATCAAGCCTTCCCAGCGAGCCAATATTCGGCTGTCGACGTCCCAGGACCTTTACTCCACGCTCAGCAGTTCTCTTAGCCCGCTAAAAGGACACCAGCGACCGGCCATTCCTTTTGAAAATGCCATGGCCAAGGAAGGCGACAGATCTCCAACTTCCGGCCATCGCATCCTTGAGGATGATTACGCCGTTCCAGCACCTCCTCCGCCTAGCCCTGTTAGTTTCAGGGCCGACCGCTGGCCCACGCCAGCTTGTCACTGAAAGGGGCCGAGTCCTGTTACACTGCCTTCAGCCTTGTCCATCGGACTTCCAAGTGCCCAGCGCACAGCTAAATGCACAGTGTGTCGGGCCAGACCCGGCATGATCAATCCTTCGCTTCGTTTATCATTCACTTAGGGTTTAGATGGATGGTCCTTTTCTTGTCTCCCCGCCTCTCTCTCCTCCGAGATTTGAAGAGGCGGCCTCTTGGGAGTTGGGTGTCCAGGCATGGGTTTAATGGTCAAATACAGTGGGAACTTGGGCAAAGGGTGGAAACACAAAACAAAAACAGTGGATTTGCCTGCATTTGCCCAGGCCAGCACTTGGCGGATAGCGAGGTACAAGTGGCGGCGGGCTACGGGTTCACGGGTCAGGAGTCTTTGTCTGCTCATTATCATTATCTGGTCGAGTCGTTCTCCTCCTGTAATCAAACTTTTCTTGATGCTGTATCACCTGGATTTTCTCGCTACTGGCAATAGCAAGCCTAGCACGGCAGAAGTGCAAATTTCGCGATGCGTACCAGAAAGGAGCTAGCGATGGCTCAGCCTCGAAGTGATACAAGACAAGTTGGATGAGATTGACTCATAAAGAGCGGTCAGAGTACTCGTAGTTTGGCCATTGGATATGATGCCACCTTCTTGGTGAGGAGGATGTAACTACGGAATCTGCATGCGCCCAATCAGTCGGGGACGTTGCCACCGTCATTGGCTTACACGAGACGCAGCTTGGGAGGAAGCCTGCCGCTATTGCCATTAGCGATGAGGCCGGGACGGAGTGTGGCAACGGGCAGCTGTTTCTGACCGGTGCAGAGAGTACGAGCAGACGTCTTTATTTAGCCGGGGTTGTATACGTATGTGACAGAGTATTGATGCATGATGGGGACGGATGCACGATATAATGGAAGCTTCTGGAGATTGAGGTGAGTGATGATTCGTCATATGCAGCCCGGTCTGATGAAGGTGGTACGACGCTCGGGGTTATGCAAGAGACGCAGATTCTAGAGCCAGATTGCGATTGCGATGAGGCTCTGTCAGCATATTTCTGTGGTAGTAGTATTATATTGAATGAGCATGATTCTGCTTCGGCGATGTTCTATTTGGGGGGGCATCACTTGTGTGCTCGGAGCTCTGTGGTCTGGCATGATGGTCATGGTTCTATGATAAGGGCTCCCAGGAAACCGAAACCCATTTCGCTTGTTGCGGCGATGAGTGCCATTGTGTGTGCGGTGTGACTTCACAAGGTGCTGAGAGCGATCCAGGATGTTATCATGGCTTATATGCAATGGTTCTTTGTTATATGACATCCTATCCAAGGTAGCTTTTCTATGTGACGGCAGCATTTGCAGTATACAAACTATTGCTTTTGCAATACAACTGCTCACAGTACAAGTGTGGCTGGTGTCATACAACGTCCGCAGTGGTCATCATATTTTGCACCTTTCTTCTTACTATAGTTCTGCTGGCCCACGATGTTCTTATAGTTTCTAGGAGCGTTTCAATCACGAAATCTGGGTTATTGGAGGATGTAGAGGGTATATCATCCTTGATGCAGTTTCGCCCTCGCCATTTTCGCAGTATATAACGAAATGCCAGATAAACGAGTCACAATGCGCATATGTGCGAATTTGAAGCCCATGGAAGCGTTGTTTTTGCACTGCAGAACATGGAGCCAGTGTGTCCTTGGCGATCGAGAGTTTTGCTGTTCCTCTTGTCGTCGGAAGAAGCTTATGGACAATCGCTGTGAATTACTTTATGTAACTTAGCGTGATCTTCTCGCTCTCGGTGTTTTCGGCACCGAGTTATCACACATCCTTCCTTTCTGGTTCTTACGGTTATCTCTTCTCGGAAGATATAGTACGTGACGACTTACATGAACAGCCTGTCCTCAAAGGTACTATATGTACTATAGGTACTCCTCGGCATTTTGAGTAACAGTGAAGCCATCTGAAAGATCTAGCCGGCAGATATCAGTCTTATATATATATATATATATATATACTTTTAGAGGATACTGCATGCACTGCTAAAACACTGCATCGCCTTGTAGTTGAGCCACATTTGGTGATGTTGGTGGGCTTACACATCTTTAGCAGCTTCTGATGCTGGTAGCGCATCAACAGCACATAAACGCCTTACGAGCGAAATGACATCAGCTATTTCTGTGAATCCACATACGCGAGACTGAAGTGCCATGGAACATAATAAGTGATTCATACATGCTTTAATAAGGTATCAAAGGCTAGAAAATGAATGCATCTCGAGCCTCAAAATACAAACAAATCGTCAATGTGGGGGAGGGGCCGCCACTTTACGCGCCTGCAAACCCCCCATGTGCGATCTAAGCTCGTGCCAAAAAATACTCCCGAAAAAACCGCGTCGTGGTGTCAGTAGTAGTACACCCGACTTCGTACCGCGTCTGCGGGTCGCGTCGACCAGGAATCGATTTCTGGCGCTTGGCAAATTCCGTTGTCGAGGCAATTGCACACTCCTTGCTCTTTCTTCATTTTTCCATTTTTTTGAGTTTCCCAACATTGCAACTTCCTCATCAATTCGGCATTGCGCGTTTCGTGCTTGACTTTTTCCCCGTTTCATCCTCGAGCAGTTGTCTCTTTCCCAGTCTTCAGTCTGCGCGTTGATTCTTTCTCAAGCCGGCGTATCTCATCGTTCCTGCCGCTTCATTTTCTCCAACTTGTCGCAGCTGCAGGTTAGGCAACTCAAGGGAAGGAGCATCAGACACGTGAAGGAACTCCGGGGACCAGAAGGAAAGGGGAAACAGAGAAATAAGGAAGGAAGCCAGCACTTCGTCATCATGCCTCGGACCACAAGAAGACGCCAGGTCGAAGCTCCCTCTGCAGCTCAACCCATCAGCAACTTTACCCGCGTCTCCAAGAGCCAGGCTTTCCCCGAGGCCACCAAAAAGGACGCCATCTCCCGCACTGAGTCGACGAGGAAGAGGAAAGCCACAGTCGACGATGCTGAAAGCAATCACGCCCGGGTCACGAGAAGGACCGTCTCGTCTTATCCCAGCAGCGATGAAGAGCCGGTGGCAGCAACACCATCGAAGCGCGCCTGTCGAAGAGACTCGTCAAACGAGGAGGCGGCCCTGAACGTTGAGGTGAAGCCTGCGGTCAAAGCAGCAGCGCTAGCGGCAGTCAAGCCTGCGCCAAAGGCCCCGGTCAAGGGCAAGAAAGTCGCCAAGTCGACGCCTTCACGCGCCGCTGCTGCTCATAAGCCAAGCGAATCGACCATCATCGCAAAGTCGAAGCAAGACGGCAGGACTAAGACTGTGCAGACCAAGCTTGACTCGTTCCGCCTGGCTGGCCAGAAGAAGGAACAGGGCAAGGCACATGGCATCGAGTCCGAGTTCGCACCTGAGCTGGTCGACCTGATCCGCCTCCACAAGGCCTTCCTCAAGACCATCACCCTCCAAATCGCACACAGCGGAAGCATTGCGCCCATCGACATCTCATCCATCACGCCCAACATCTCCCGCTCTTGGGGCAAGCGACAGGTCACAGTCGACGACATTCGAAGATGCATTGCCCTCCAGACTTCAACACGAGCTGCCGATGTCGTCTCGCCCTTCATCGTGTCCGACTATGGCCGTGGCAAGATCTGCATAGAGCTGCATCCCGACCACACCAATGGCGCAATTTCCATCAACGAAGATCACCTCTGCAGAAATTTCGAGCAAAATCTCCGCGACCTTTGCGCTGGCCGAGCCCATGATCATGACACGTCCGACGACGTGGACGTGCCTCTGGCCAGTTTATCTCTGGACGAGCTGCCCCGCGCTGAAATCAGAAACATGGATACTGGCATCAAAGCCAACCAGATTCTTGCCAAAGGACACAATGCCCTATCGGCACTCAAGGGAGGAATGCTAGCGAAGCAGCAAGAGAAGGAGACCAAACAGCAGGCCGCTGCCGCCATGGTGAACCCCGACGGCACCAAGATGAGCCTGTTGGACCGTCTACGATACAAGCAACTCGCAAAGGCCAACGAGCCTCTTCCGCAGGGACCAGAGCTCCAGCGCCGAGCCGCTTTGAACCGCGTCATCGACGTCGCTGCTACGATTTCCATGCTCAGCCTGGCCAACCCAGCGTCTCTGCCACGACAGGCCTTCACCATGGGCCTCATCTCGGACAAGCTCAGGGACTCTCTGCGTGTTCCGCTTTCAAAGGAGGAGGGGATGATTTGCGTCCGGCTGATTGCCAATGAAGTGGCACCAGAGTGGCTCAAGATTGTTACCATTGGCGGAAGGGAGAACGTCGTTGTCTCGAGGGGCTCGCAGCCTGTTGATCGGGTGCTCCAAGAGCGAGTACAGAAGCTGCTGGCATGATGGAGCGAGCCGATTCCGTTCATCTACCTCGGCGTTTCACAACACCCAAACACCCCGACACAGGCGAAGGCCAAGGTTTCTACATCTTTATTTCGATGAGGTCGCGGCATGTTTGGCTGTTTGGATTCATTGCATTGCGCTGCATTTTGTCGGTACTTTTATTATACTTACAGCATGGGAGAAGGTGGTCTACGAGCTTCCGATGTACAAGACGATGCATGTGCTGGAGTATGGAGTTTTGCATAAACAACGATTCAAGTAGCATCTTAGACGTACGCTAGACACTTTGAGAGTGTAATAAGAGCATTGTTAAAATATTTACTCACTTTTCAATGGGTCTGGAGACGATGAGATGTGCATTCCGAAGTAGAGGTAGGGGAAGGCCTGTGATGATGCCATGGAAATGGAGCTGGTAAATGGGATTTTAGCCGAAATCTGTATCATCTGCTCACGCCGTATCTCAAGGGCACCACTTCGTTGACAGCAGATAAACTCACCATGCATTAGCTCCCAACATCATCTTACGACAAGATTATAAGGTTGCCGGCATCCGTTCGTGACATGGCAGCATCATCCGGCGTTACGCACGAAAGTGAGCCTCTGCAGCTGTATCTTTGAAAAGACGCCGAGCCACGGCCGGGATTAACACGGCAGTTGAAGCAAAGATAACAACTGCAAATCGGAGCAAAGGACAAGTGCTTGGCGATAAACCCGCCTTCATGCAGGCACCGATCAGAAATCCGATCCTCGCAGCAGAAACAACTGCCAAAAAGCGTGTACTAGTAGAAAGGGGGGGCGTTCGGTTGAAGCCTTCGAGAGCCTAAAGGCGGGCCGATGGCGGATCCAAGGGCTGGGCTGCAAGCCATTGGGCCAACCAGCTGCGCCGTCCGGGACAGATTCGTCCGATAAGTTTCGACGGGAACGGGAACGGTGCCTGGAGAAGGCTATATGCGGCTTCTTGGCTCGGTTACTGTACTTTTGCGGCGAGCTTACCGGCGCATGGAGCTAGAGTACCGCATATTTCTTTTCTTGCGATATAAGGTAGCTTGGCCGTGATGCCCTCTGCTATTTATGGCTTTGGCTATGGCCAGTGTGCATCGCTTGTTCTCTTGAGGCGGGCTGCTATTTCTTTCTTCATTCGTTTGTTATGAAGGGATCGTTCATGTTTCTGTAGGCGCGAGTTCGACGACTTACACTCTATGCATTCTTATCACGACGTGTGACATTTCGTACGCCGCTTTTTTGTTTGATGCCCTGAAAATCATTTGGTTTTCGAAGTCTTTCTAGTCGATCAGTCTGGATTTGACAAGCGGGCCTCAAGTTATGAGCCGTATGAACGTCTGATCACCACCATGACCTCCACCGAGAAGGCATTATCGCCATCTTCCCACGAGAGCGATGGCATGTCCAGGCTGTCACCATCGCTACCCGATGAGAAAGCCAACAAAGCCGTGGCCGAGCCGACGGGCGTCTTTTATCGATCAATGTCACATGTGTCCGGACCAGACGTACTCGAGTCAGCCTCACCGCAGCCGCCGCCTCAGTCTTCTGGTCCCCATACCGAAGCTGGAGAAGAAATATACGACCGCATGTCGTCCCGCCGCAAGCATGTCATAGTAACTGTCTTGTCGTTTTGTGCTTTCTTAGCGCCCTTGTCAAGCACGAGCATTCTAGCCGCCGTGCCCGAGGTTGCCATAGCGTACCATACAACAGGCTCCATCATCAACGTGAGCAACGCGGCATACATGGCGCTGATGGGTGTCTCGCCGGTGGTATGGGGGCCGATGAGCCAGGTATTCGGCAGGCGTCCTGTAAGTCTGACCAATCCTTGTTGCCTTTATCCTGACAGTACACATGCTGAACCGCATAGATGACACTATTAACGACGGTATTGTTCTTCTTGCTGAGTGTAGCAACTGCTCTTGCTCCGAATCTGGCATCCTTCTTTATATTCAGAGCTCTCTCAGCCTTTGAAGGTACAGCGTTTGTCCTGCTGGGAGCGGCCTGCATAGGGTAAGCCATATGGTAACTCACAATTTTGCCAGGCTAACGTGCGTATCAGAGATATATATCGGCCCACGGAACGAGCAACTGCTCTCGGGTGGTTCATGTCTGGCACACTGATCGGTCCTGCCCTTGGCCCTTGCATAGGGGGCATCTTGGTGACTTATACATCCTGGAGGTCCATCTTCTGGCTGCAGACGGCGTTGGCTGGCACAGGTTCCCTCGGTGTCTTCTTCCTTGTGCCAGAGACTATCCACCACAAGAAGATCGACGACTTGGAAGGCCGCTCCAGGAAAGAAAAGGCCAAGGCTGTACTTCATATGACGAGCCCCATTCGGGTGATGCGGCTGTTCAGATACTGGAATCAGGTACTGGTCGCACTCGCCAGCTCAGCGCTTGTGTGGAACATGTATACCTTGCTCACACCGATCCCGTACGTGTTGAACCCGCGGTTTCATCTAGACTCACCGATACTGTCAGGCCTCTTCTATCTGGCCCCCGGGAGCGGCTACCTGGTGGGGACGTTCATGGGAGGGAGATGGGCAGACAGAACGGTCAGGAAATGGATAGAAAAACGCAACGGTGTGCGTGTTCCGGAGGATCGCTTGCGGTCCGCGATCCCGTTCATGGCCTTCCTTGTGCCAAGCTGCATCCTTGTGTATGGATGGGCCATTGACAAGGCTGTGGGTGGCATTCCTGTTCCAGTCATCATGCTCTTTTTGCAAGGTGTCGGGCAGCTCTTCTGCTTTCCTGCCCTCAACACCTACTGCTTGGACGTGATGCCTGGACGCGGCGCAGAGGTGACGGCGGCGAACTACTTTGTTCGGTATATGGCAGGCTGCGTCGGCACAGCGATAGTCCTTCCGGCCATTGAGGGCATCGGTGTTGGCTGGTTTGAGACTATCTCTACTGGTCTGGTGCTGCTCTCGACACTCGGTGTCCTGGCTACCATTCGATGGGGCAAGGATTGGAGGGAAACGGTTGATGCGAAGAAGAAGTCGTCAGTCGAAAAGGACGCTGGTGAAATGACAGACGTGGACCATCGACAACGAGAGGGAGACGCCGCATATGGCGAGAAGCCTAGAGGAAAAGTCTGATAAGGCCCGCTGGCGATGGACGGCAGTTCTTTTGTTGATAAGTGAGCAGCGAGTGCAGATTCCCGGAGACCAGTATCGTCTATACCCTGATTTTAATAAGATCACCTTTCTCTACACCAAAGAGCGTTGGCAGCCAGCCGGTTATCGTCAGTGACTGGAGGTTATGACCCAAACAACCCGTAACGAGTAATATCGTCATTACTGGCTTTCGCACAGCGTCGGTTCAATGCAGTCAAACCCCAAGACGCTGCTTCGTGCGCAAGTACTAGTAGCGCTCAACAGCTGACAAGGAGCATAGCTATCTGCATCCGCATCTGCATGGTACTCCGTAAAGCCCAAATACACGGCTATTTTTGGACTTGCGCACTTGTATTTCCTGTGGAGTAGCAGGCCCAACATCGTCTGCTTGAGTACTTGGAGTCTTCAGCGTTGCTGTAAGTGGCACTCGCGCTTCGTACAGTACGTCTCCAGCAGTAGTCGGTTTTAGGGCTGATGTACCCCGTCTTCGGTGTGCAATTGCCCCTAGACATCGGCAAGAGATACAGCGAGTTTTGCACGACAACTGCTGGTTGGACTGCGACCATCCTATCGCAATGCATTGAAGACATGGTGGTGGGCGGAGTGCATTCGTTTGTACGAACACCATCACGAACCGTCACGTCCAGGCGATCCGAACCATCCAATGGCAGACTGGTTTGGGAGGTGGCTTAGCGAAGCCGGGGATATCTGACAGACTGCTCGACGGGAATTCAGTTTGTAGCCAGTTGGTGGACGACGCTTGTCACCCTTCGCAACGGCCGGACCACTTTTATGACTTAGGCCAAGAATGCCTCCATGGGGCCTGACAGAACGAGATGACAATATAATCCGAGCTCCACAGAGCAGTCGATAGTGGAATGGCAGTTTGCTGTCCGGTCGTAATATTTTGATGAGATGGTTGGAGCCCCTGCTCTGGGAAAGAAAGGAGAACCTCACAAGGAGCCAAGCGGTGGACCTTGAGCGGCAGCTAGTATCACGAAGCATTGGAGACTTGTGTAGCTTTTGATGAATTCGAAGGCTCCTGTCGATGGCAAAGTCGAGTCCGCACAGGCCAGGTGATTGATAGGTCGTGAAAAAGGGAAACCGGATTTCGGAAGCCCTTCAGAATGTGTCAAGTGTGTACTCAAGCACTGCACCATTGTACCCCTGTCGTCGACGCGTTTCATGTTGCCAGCGGGATGGTAGAAACGGCAGGGATCCCACGCCACAGCGGCCCGCCGGTCTTTGCTTCTAGCGACAGAGGGCTTTCCACCGTCAGCTGCGAGAAAGCCCCGATCATCCCGGCTGAAGGCGCAGCAACGCTCGTAAAGACCGGCTTGGCAACCAGCGTTGAACCCTTCCTTTGATGGGAAATTTCATAAACAACACAGCCGTTTGGCGTTGGCCGAATGGCTCTCTTGGTTCCTCATCTTTGGCTGTTAACCTCTCTTGCCTCTGCAGCATCACAATGATGCAATGGTCCGATCAACAGGCCGACAAGGCAAGACCTCATGGAAAGGCTTCACAAGGATCATGGAGCGGCACCCTCGGGGCAGTCGTACGGGGTGCCGGACAGCGCTCGTGCACCTCTGATTGGCCTGGGACGGGTAGACAACGCTGAGAGCGACAGGGGCCGCCGAGGTTATTGGGATTCTTTGGACTAGAGACGCCCTAACCTGGGTAGTTTTGAAGAAGCGCCATGCCGCCGCTGTTATCGGTTCTCTTCTTGGCGCTGTTGCGGTTTGCTGATTGCGGCATCAGAATCAAAGCCACGCGTCGATTCTCGTGATTGAGCCGTGTGTCGACGTTCTCGTATCTTGCCGCAGCCTCAAGGCTGCTCCTCCATAAGCGGTCAAATCTGTCCTAGATTCGTAGCAATACGCTAGTACTAATAGCAATGGACATGACATATAAACGAACCAATCCCAAGCCCTGCTCAGTTCATCACCGTTGACGGGGAGCGGCTGACTGGTTATGAAGTCGAATGAAGCTTATAAGGATTCGGGAGACGTTTGACTGCCGGTAAGGCATGGCTTTTGCTCTTTTTCACTCATGGAACCAGTACCTGCTGTAGTCCATCTGTGTGTCTCATACGGAGTACGGAGTAGAACATGCTGAGGGTGTGTTAGTGTGGATGGCAATGCGGCTCGTATCATGGCTGCAGCTGCATCGTCTGTCTCACTTGCGCACTCGTACACACCTATGCGGCACAAACGCGGCAGCGATTCGCCAGCCGAGAGGATTGGCCGGATTGGTGTTTAGAGGCGTGGAGCATGTGTGTGCGGTGCCCAAAACAGCCTTTGCGCTATGTCTGGTCTTCGAAACATTTTCAGTCTGTGCTCTTTGTAGCGCTGAGTTAGACTGGAGAGACAGATGAAGAACCGGTCCGAGATTCAGGTAGTCTGTGGGTGAAGATGAGGGCTTTGGTGATGACGATGATGATGAAGAGGAGGAGAAGGAGGAGGAGGAGGATTACTAAGGTACTGAACTACTATGTGGGTAGCATCTCAAGCGGCTCTTGCCAAAAGTTCTGCACATTTGCATCGAGGAAACCGCTTCTCCCTGCACTTGCCTTGCTTTGCCTTGCTCCTACACACCTCTTTCCTCAAACTGTCCTGCCTGTCTTGCGCCTGCCTGTCGATCGCCGTTTGCGCGCGCGCGCATGGGCAAGAGCGAGCTGAGCTCAGAGGCTCCTGCGGGTTCCCACTTGGCCCGTCCCTTTTGAGGGACCCTTGGCCGACGTTTTTTTTTACGACTCCTGTACAAGGTTTATGGTTATTACAGCATCTCAACCTAAATTCCTGTACATATCTCTCATTTCTGCACAAACTCCGCTCTTCTCTCCTTTGCTCTGTTCTGCTCTCCTTTCTCTCTCCCGGAGTCCGGAGACGCTGAGTCTGTCAGCTCACCGGCTTGTCACCAGCTTTTCTTCGTATCTCGCCATCCGCGTCCATTCTTACCGAAAGACGGAAGCCAGTCGCCACACATTCGCTCACAAGAGGGGCACTTCACCTAACCCGTCAGCGTCGTAAGCCGAACGTCGATTCCCCTTGACTGGTTGCGACAATTTGGTTGCTTGCTAGTGGGAAGAAGGAGACTTGAATAGGACAACATCACATCTTCATCTTCTTTACCTTCCTCACATTTGCGGCGCCTCTGGAAATCCATCGTCGCGGGTGATTGTCACCCTGCCACGCTCCTGCCGCCATGGAGCGCACGGCTTCACTTCTCAGCTTCAGCAGCCGCTCCAGCTCTCACGATTCGACCAATAGAAACAACGACTCCTTATTACCATATGCCGAGAATGTCTTCGAAAAGAAAGCTCTCCGAGGACAATCGTTCTTGAGACGGTGTCTATATCGGAGGATCCTGATATGGACAGTCGCAAGCATGATCGTGGTGTCTTTTCTTCTCTTCAAAGCGGGCGATGGCATGGTATCCAGCTCCAGCTCACGAGTCGTTCAACAGAGCGCAGCGGCAAAGCCTCCGCTTGCACAACCTACAATCATCGGCAATGAAGACGGTGGCCCTGTGCTGGTGATTGTAGATAAGGATAAGGAGGCCCAGAAGGTTAAGGAGTCCCAGAAGGATAAAGATGGCCAGAAGTCTGACAAGGCAGCTGAAGAGAAGACGGAGCCAAGCGGGGAGAAGAAGGTCGAAGGGGACGGTAACAAGGACGGAGAGAAGAAGACAGAAGAAGGAAAGGAGGAAAAGGCAACCGATCAGGGCCAGGTTGACGGGGAAAATCAGGCGCCTCTCGATCCTGAAGATGAACTGAGTGCGGAAGAGGACGCAGCAGCTCTGAAGAAGTGGGACGAAGACTTGAAAAAGATGCCCTGGCTTCGATTTATCCCGTAGGTCTCCCGCGCGCTTCTGGCACGCCTTGCACCACTAACGTGTCCTTCTTGCTTAGTCTGAACGGCTACTTTAACGGCCTCAAGTCTCTGGTTACGAAATCTGACCACATTCCCGAGTATCCGAACCCTAATGTGGAAGTTCCTCTCGGCGAGCCTCCCCTGAGCCAGGATATCCCGAAGCCGAAGCTTTACGATCCCTACAACTCTTCCGACTCGAGCGTTAAAACTTGCTATCTTGACACGGACAATACGATTCCGGCACCCAGCCTTTATGCGTACGAGGGAATCCCTCAATACATGCCTGACCCGGCCATTGGCTCCCACTCCATATTTGGCATTCGCGATGACGTCTGCTTCGATCGATTTGGTCGTTACGGGCCTTATGGCTTTGGTTACAAACTGGTTGATGGCGGCTCAGATGTCGGTGTTGATACAGAGAGCTCCGGCAGCGAGGCTGTCTGGGAGAAGACTGGGCAAATCAACTATGGTCAAATTGACTGGGGCGATGTCCAGGAGCGATGTGCTACCGCCAACAAGGACCGGTTCGCGGAGCCTGATCCAGAAACCGAGGCGCTGAACTTCGATGGGGGCAAGAAGGGTCGGATTGCCGTGGTCATCCGTCTCTATACCGGCTTCCAGTGGACGCAGCTGGCTGTGCTCAACTTCCGGGCCATGATCAGCGAGTTGTCTCTCAGATCTGGCGGAGAGTACAACGTTCATTTCTTGTTGCACGTCAAGGACAACGACACACCGATCTGGTCCGACGACATGACGGTACAGATGCTACTCGACTCCAACGTGCCTCCGGAGTTTCACGGGCTGGTGACGCTGTGGAGCGAAGCACAAATGGAGCTGTTCTATCCCGGCAAATTCGAGGATCCCATCAGCAAACCCCCCATCAACAACCCTGCCGCCAGGGGCGTTCACGGTGTCTTCCGCAGCGCTCACTTGCCCCTTCAAGTATTTGCCTTGCAACACCCGGAGTATGAGCATTTCTGGAACTGGGAGCTGGATATGCGGTACCTGGGCAACTGGTACGAACTGTTTGATCGCTTGGGCCACTGGGCAGACCAGCAGCCACGCAAACTGCTCTGGGAGCGAAACGAGCGCTACTACATTCCGTCCCATCACGGCACCTGGGAGAACTTCACGGCTGCCGTCGAGCAGTATACAAAGGACTCGGGTAAACCCGGTGTCTTTGGCCCCGTAGAGTTTCCCGAGAGAGGGCAGCTGCGTTTCGAGCAGCACGGAGGATCCGCCATGCCCCCTTTGTGCTTGGCCGATCCAGAAAACCCGGAGTGCGGTGTCGGCGAGGCGGCTGATCTCATCACCCTGAACCCCATCTTCGACGTGCACGGCTCTGCCTGGGTTTTCGCAAACGACGCAACGGCCTATGGCAAGACGCCGCCAAGACGATGCGCCATCATCACGGCATCTCGACTGAGCCGCCGGCTTCTGATGGCAATGCACGAGCAGGTGTGGCGCCACCACCACACCATGTTCTCTGAAATGTTCCCTGCCAGTGTAGCCTTTCACCACGGGTTCAAGGCCGTATACGCACCTCACCCGGTCTTCCTGGATCGTGCCTGGGAGCCCCTAGGCAGTGCCGTGGACAAGGTTTTCAACGGCGGACGTGACCACTCGACGTCGGCCGTGGGGAGTCCATTCGACTTGCGCAATGAGCACAACCACAAAGGTGCCACCTGGTACTTCAATAGCGAGTTTGCCGGTTTGCTGTGGCGGCGATGGCTGGGGTTCGCCCAGCTGGACTCGAGAGGAAAGACTGGCCATCGGAAAGGTGGAGGCAAGATTCGAGGCGGAAAAGCTGAAGAGGAGAGCGACGCGAGCAGCGGTCGGATGTGCCTGAGGAGCTTCCTCGTGCATCCAATCAAGTTTGAGAGCCCGGACGAGAAGAAATGACGGAGGAGCGTTTGAGCCAAGCCTAAGAAGGCTTCTTGGCGCGCGCTGCAATTCGGTTGGCAAGCGGATGCATACAGGAACGGCGTTTTGTTTTCATGTTTATCAGCTTTCTTTTTACAGTCATCGCATCATCTCTCGTTTTCCGGATACATTGTTGGATACTAATAGTAGAGTCGAGAGGGTGTTTCACGGCGTTGGGTTTTCACACAGAGAGCGTTTGTTGATCTTGTGGGACTCGCAGTGCGGGCAAGAAGAGATGGATCAACTTCTATATATCGTCTCGACAAGTGGTGTTGAGAGCTTTGAAGACTATTAGATGTGTGGGATTTGATCATGAGGGATCATGCATGAATATAGAGGATATATAAGGTCTAGAGCAATGCAAGACATGATGTTGTACCTGACGCTTCTGTTGCAATACATGGTGACACATTGTATTCGAATATTTTACGACACTTGATGTTCAAGCGGCACTCTGAAAGGTGTTCAAGTGGGAAGACATGAATAGATTTGCTCATTTCACTCATAGCCCAAACTCTCCACCGTTGCAGATACCCAAATCCCATTCATACGCATAAAAGCTACCAAAACTAACCAATTTTCAAAACGAAGAATCAAGAATAAACATCCCTTAGTATTTGATTCCCACCCCACCCCCCCCTTCCGCGTACGACTACAAAACACCCCCGAGATGCGCCGAAACGAGAGCGTCAAGCGCGGTCAAGTTTTTCCAACTGGTGAGCAAATAGGAGAAACTTGCTCTCAAAAAAAAAAAAAAAAAATGAAAAGAGCCAATTCCCCGAGTTACGGTGAATTGACGCGCGTGATAGGCTTGCCTCTTATTTCCATACAAGAGAAAAAAGAAGAGCCTATCCACTTCATACCCAATCATGCCAAGTAGCAGTTTCGAAACCGGTTTTTAAAAGACCGAAAATGGGCATGGTATCGAATAAATGGAAACCAAGAAAGAAGTCAAAGACGAGAGAAAAAAAGACGACAATAATGGAGAGCCGCGCTTTGACGCCGTCGACACCTAAAACGCCGCTTTCCCCCTCCCTTTCCCCCCTTCTGCCACGATTCGTGGCAGCTTGGCCCAAGATATTCGAGCTGCAGCAAATGCGCTTTGATGCAAAAGTGAGAACAAGAGACTTTGTGGTATTGCCTGTAGCCGGGGGAGTTCTCATCCCTCCAATGGCAATACCTCCCTTGGACTTTGTTTATTTCTTCAGCACCGCGTCGTAGATGCTCAGCAAGCCCGTAATGGCGGTTCCCGTGATGACGCCCTTGTAGCCACCGTAAACAGCGCCGTTGAGCCGCTCGATGGCGGTGTCGGAAAGAAGACCGCCAAAGGTGACGCCCTGCCCATAGACAAGGTAGGAAACGAGGGCCTTGGTGATGCTGTAGGTCAAGGGGTCGACAACACTCTCCTGAGGTTGAGTTCGGGAGCGGGTCTTGAGTCCGCTTGGGGCAGTGTTGGCCGCGCTGAGGTTAAAGAAGTAACCGAAGAGGCTGGGCAGGATGAAGCTGGTAAAGGCCCAGGTCAGAGCAGGCGACCAGAAGCTCGCAGTCAGCAGCAGGAACATGTCGGGCAAGTAGACGGGATGGTCGGAAGTGCCGAGAAACTCGATGGCGGGAACGGTAAAGGCATAGCGGTTGGCAAGGACCTCCGGGCGGATGTACCAAAGCTCGAAAGCAGAGACAACGAGGAGGATGCTGTTGACGTTGCTGAGCGTCTCGCGGGTGGCGTTTGAAGCCTCGCTGATGCCGCTCTCCTGGTAGAGCGAGGAGACGTGACGGCGCACGGCGAGAGTGGAGCGGTCGACGGCCTGGGCCACGTCGGCCGGCGTCGCGGGAAGAGGAATGCGCGCGGCGACTTGCGACAGGCTGCGGGCGGGAGTCTGGATAAGGGCAGTCGAGGCGGCGCGGACGTCGTCGGCGTCTCTGTAGAGTTGCGTGTTAGAGAAGACGGTCAACAGGCCGAAGTCGATTGCCGTGGCTCTCAGTCGCCCAGCGGCGAAGGGGGAAGTCTCAATACTCACGTAGACATGATGTCCTCGGCAGCCTTGGTCACCCGTCGCTTGGCCGTCTTGAGCGTCTTTTCAATCTCGTCCTTGAGGGGCGCTTCCTTAGGCTCCTTGGGCTCCTTGGGTTCCTTTGGCTCCTTGGATTCGCGCTTCACGGGAGAGCCCATGGCCTTGGTGCGGCTGTTGAAGTAGCCGGACAAGTCAGACCGGGAGGAGAAGCGGCTGCTGTTCCCCGCAATGAAGTCGTCGAGAGCGGACTCGAGCTCCGTCTTTTTCAGACCATCGTAGCTAGTTCCCGGGGCGGGCGAGCGTTAGCTTGCTTTTCCTTGTTTGTTTTGCTTTTCGTGTTCTTTTGTTTTCTTTCGGCGGAGAAGCGAGAGAGGAAGATGGATGGAGTGGCGACGCGCCAAAGAGGAGGGCAGTGGAATCGGGTTGCGTGTGAGAAGAGAAGCAGATGGAGGGCGCGGAAGGGGGAGAAGAGGTGATGGAAAAAGGCCAGATTCTCGGTTCTCCAAAGTCGCAGCTTCTTCTCTCCGCGCCGCCGCGACGACCAAGAGTTGCGCGCCTCGTCCTCTGGAAGATGCATCGCGACATCGCAGCGGGAAGCAAAAACAACAGAGGCGAAAACAGCAAACAAAACAATGACGCAAAGGAATGCATGATGTGGCGATGGCGCAAACGAGAGATGCGCCGCGCTAAACACCAAAAAAAAACAAAACATCCGAGTAAAATCAACAAGAACAAGCTGAGAAAGGCGACGCAGAACAAGAAAAGCAGAAAAGGAGCGAGACATACTTTTTCAACCCGACGCTCTCCGCCAATTCCACCAAATCGCTCTTGCGCTGGGCGCGCAGCCAGCTATTCGACGGCGCGATGATTGACATTGTTTCTCTTGTTGTTGATCGAGCTTTTGTCTGTTGTTTGGAGCTCTGCGTGCGCGATGGCTTTTCGCTTTATACCGTTGATGTCGAGTAAAAAGCGCGGCGAGATAAAGTAATTGGCAAGCGATAAAACGGAAAATATAAAGATTGCAAGAGGTGGAAGAGGAAAACTCCCGAGGCTGTCGAATCAAGAAAAGGATGAGAAATGATTCGATGCCCAATTGATCGATTTCTTGCGGTGTGTTGCGGTGCCTCCCCAGTAAAAAAAATACCGGCAGAAATTGATTGTGATTGATTGATTGGCTGATTGAGGGGAAACAGAAGCTGCAGCTGATGGCGTGTCTTTCTTTTCCTTTCTCTTTAGAATCCGAGCTGTTGAGCGATGATGAGGATGAAGCCTTCTTTGCAAGCTACCTGAAGCTGTTTTGCTGGTTGCGGAAAAAAGAAGGCGCTTATCGGGGATGGCCAGTGCAGTGGTTATCGTGCGATCGATTGATTGCAATCCGGACACTTTCCCTTGCGTATCCAAGCCGGAATCGTAAAAAAGCGGGATGAGATCAAAGTGTCAAGGGTGTTTTGTTCTTTTTTTTTCTCCAACGGTTGCTGGGGTGGTCCCTTGTTTGAATAATAAAGTAAAAAAAAGAATAGTAGAGAGGGAAAAAAAAGAGAGGGAAATGGGGGGGAAGGGCTACGAAGTATTTGCTCTTGTTTATGTTGTCCTCTTCAGGACTAGACACGATTTTCCCGCTTTCTGTAGTAGGTGATCAAGTGTGCCAGTGTGTGTTGTGTGATTTGCTAGGTATTTTCCTTTCTATTTCTGCTGGTGTGGGAGGGAAGAGAAGAAGCTGGACGACAGAAGAGTGCCCAGGTGGAGGAGGTGGTCGGAGAGAGGGGGGGGGGGGACGAGGGCAAAAGTCGCTCGCTTGTGTGCCGCGTTTGCAGTGTGACCCCGTTGGCCGGGCGCCCGGCTGCAGAGGGAGCAGGTACCGCACTAACGGGATGTACCTCGCGAGGACCGGGGGGACGACAACTTGACTTGTATGACGGTATTGGATGGGGAGGGGGGGCTTGTTGATGCGCCGCTGATGCCACTATATTTCTGGAGAGGGATGAGGATCTGATGATTGATGAGATTGGATGAGAAGTTGAAGTTGCTGATGATCTTGAAGTGGTGATAGTAGTAGTGGTAGGTTCTGGATTGTCTACATACAGCGTGGCATCGCGGATGGAGTCGTTGAGCATGGGCACTGCAGCAGCATCTCCGCACTTGTTGATGCCCGGACAACCAGGCAGGTGTTTTGATGCGTTGTCCCTCTTTTGACGAGCGACTGAAAGATGTAATAATGAAAAGTGATTGATTCGGGACTTCGTCTTCTTTGTATTGCCCCTTGTGAGAGGAGATGTGTGATAATTCAGAGATGAACAAAGTAACAATGAATTGAACTCTTCTGGTAGTATATACATACATCAGACAGACAAGACAGTTGGACCAAAATCACTCCCTAGTCCATCCAGTCCACAAACTTCTCCTCTCCCCTCTTCACAATCCGCACCGGCACGTGCATCCCATCCTGCAGGTTCAGCGTCAGCCTCGTCGACGCCTGTCCCACCGTCCACCGGCTCTTGTCCTGCGCCCGCCGGTACACCGCCGCCCTCTCCTCGCGGCCCATGGCCTCGACCTCGCCCGGGCTCGCCCACTCGTCCACCGCCAGCTCGACGCTGTAGCTCCGGAAGATGACGGCCAGCGCCGCGATGATCTCCACCACCGCGATGCGCCGCCCCAGGCACGACCGCGCGCCGTCGCTAAAGGGGATGTACGACCCGCGCTCCGGCTTGAAGAGCTGCGCGTTGATGTCGGAGCCCTGGAAGCCGCCAAAGTCCTCCGAGTCGGCGCCCGCCACCGACTCGTTGCCGCCGCCGCCGCCGTCGCGCTCCTTGTCCTTGGCCGTCTTCTGGAACCAGCGCTCCGGGCAAAAGTCGAGGATGTTGGACGCGCCCGGCGTGATCTTGCTGGGCCGCGTCGGCCAGTACCGCGGGTTGACGTGCGTCGACACCGTCGCCAGCGAGATGCCCGTGTTCCTGGGCAGCACGTACCGCGCGCCGTCCATGACGAGGCTCTGGTCCGCGTCGGGCGAGATCTTCTTGGGGATCTCGGACACGGGCGGCACCAGCCTCAGCGTCTCGTACATGGCCGCCCCGATCATGCTGGCCGTCATCTGGTTCACCAGGCTGTCGTAATCCCAGTCCTGGGGGTCCTTGTCGCCCAGGATGTCGTCAATGTCCTTTTGCATCGCGCGCTGCGCCTCGGGGTGCGTGGCCAGGTGGATCATGGTGAAGTGGATGGAGTTGGCCGTCGTCTCGTGGCCGGCCACGAACATGATGAAGGCGTTGCCGATGATCTCTTCGCGCGTCAGCGTCGCCTCCTTGGTCTCGGTGCCGAAAGACGACTTGGCCAGCTGGCCCATGAGGTCCATGCCCTCGACGTGCTCTCCCTTGCGGGCTTCTTCAATCTTTTCGTCCAGGAGCTCGTTCATGTAGCTGATGTACTCATCGTAAGACAGCACTGCTTTCTTGATGTTCTCAAAGGGGAGCATTTCTGGAAACCGGCCACAGTTAGCATCTCTCTCTCACATCGTAGACAAGCGGGAGGGGCGACGGGCCAAAACACACTCAGAATCCATCGCGGAACAATGAGCAGAAGCAGCAGATAATGGAGCAGAATCTCCATCGTGTCCGTAAAGCTCAGCTGGTGCCCGTCCGTAGGCTCGTGCGAGCCGTACTTGACAATCTTGGGATCCGTCCCCGCAGGATGCGTCTCGCCCGGCCACAGCAGACGCATGCCGAAGCCAACGTAGCTGATGATGTTCAGGGCCAGCTTCATCGTGTCGTGCTGCAGCGACCTCAGCGGCTCCTTTCTGGTAGCCCCCGACGGCCCCGTCCACATCCGCAACATGCCTTGCGTCTGCTTGATGGCTTCGCGGAACACCAAGGCGGCGTTCCTCTCGTTGAACGACGCAGACGTGACCTTTCGGTGCATCCGCCACACGCTCCCCTCCGTGGTCAGCACATTCTCGCCAAACTGCTTCAGGATGGTGTAAGCAGCCGTCCACTTGGGGAACTGCTCCCTCTTGAGCGTGACGGTCCGGATCGTCTCCGCATTGTCCGTCATCATCAACAGTCCCCCGGGAGAGGCAACGAGAAAAGACTCGCCCAGCTTGGCAAACCACTCATGCCGAGTCCGATACGCAAAGTTGGGAATCATGATCCTTAGAAAGAAATCACCGTCAGCAACCAAATATCTGTTTCTTGTAGTTTTTTTCTCAGTCGGTGCCATTGGTTCAGCACATACTCGAGCCATCCGTCCCACCATGACTTTGGGAACAACTTGATGATGGGCACCCAGAGCTTATGTGAGACCTGCCACGGCAGCCAAAACGGATTGCACGCTTCAATTTTTGACAGTTAGCTTTTCTCGAAGAGCATTCGAACAGTCATTTTACTGGAATGGCATGAAAGTTCTGGACGCACGCGTGACAACGTAGGGCAACCCGCTTCGCTTCGCCTCCTTGACGTAAAATCGCAGGTTCACGACATAAGTGATGATGCCGTAGGCGACCAGCACCGCCGCGGCGATTGGAACCAGCGCCATGATTGCCCGTTCAGATCTGAAGATGTTAAGCAAAATCGAAGCAGTGCTTTGTTTGTTGATGGTCGGATGCAAGAATGAATCGAGATTTTGTAACCCGTGTGTCCCGGGCGTTTAATAAGGGGGCGCGAGTTTCAGCATCAGCTCGAACGAAATCCCACGCCGCTAGCAGCGCAAAAAAATCCCCTTCTATATGAAGAGAAATGAAAAGGCAGGGCGGTGGGGGGAGGGATGAAGAGGAAGAGAAAAGAAAGAGGAGAGGTGATTATTATGACGACGAAACAGCAGGATACGACCTAGTACTAGCAATATATAATATAATAAGGTGTGTGTACCTCTATATATATATATATATATATATTTGACTGCAGACTAAACGTCAGATGCAGGGCGTTTGGTCCGCACCAACTACACACTAGCATTTATTAATACTCAGCCTACCTACAGTACCTCGACCCTTACACTCCATCTCCGGATCTGGCCCGCTCCGTGTCAAGTGCCATTTGTTTCATTGAAACGCTTGTTTTCAGCCCATCCTTCTTCCCGTCCCCCGCAACCACCCCTCCTTGTGGCAGGATGAAAGGATTGGGAAAAAGAAGAGTCATATAAATCAATGGTTTCACCGTCATCTTCCGTGGCCTCGCAATCTTTTTTTGCCAATCGGATTGAACCCGAATACAATGCGCGCTTATTTTATCGTTATCGCACAAAGGGAACGAAAGAAGAACAATGAGTACAAGAGTCACTGAAGGAAGCGGCTGAAAGATGAACAGTAAGTACTAGCAAATCACATGGGAAGCCTGGCAGTGGCTGCTTGGCTTCCTGCGGGATTGGAGGGGGGACACACCAGACAGCATCTCCTCGTGCCCCGAACAGACTCGTGAGAACCCCGTGTCTGATAGCAACCCATATCTACATACCTAGTAGTAGCTACATTGCTTGCTAATCGTGAATTCCCAGCTGTCATCCACAAAGCATGTCGTCTTCCGGTCTCTTCCTCGAGCCATAATACTTCATGTTCACTCACAGACCACTTATACGCGTATGTACATGCATATCCAGCCTTACCATCTTTCCACCTCCTCTATCACCTGACTTTACCTACAAACCACCACTTACGCGCTGGAGAATCTAAATGAACTTCAGGCTTTCTAAATGATCGCATCCAAACTGCTCAGATCCTCTCAGCAGCGTTTCAGCATCAATCCCGCCTGCTCTTCTCGCTTTCTACGCTCCTCCAGCAACTGAATCAACTCGGCCGAAAGTCCCTCCGAATCCCAATCCGGATCAATACATCCAACCGCTTCAATTTCAGATGGAGAAAACCCACCAATGGGCATTACGATGTCTTTTGATGGAGAACTGTTAATAACCCTCTGCCATTTGCCCAGAATCAACAAATGCAGGGACAGCTACGGGTACCAATCATCTCATACAAAGCTAAGGCAGTATTACCGAGTCGGCAACGTCAGAACAATCTCACACGTGCTTGGCAAAACGCAACAGTCCACAGCGAAGAAAAGAAAAAAGTAGCCCTCTAGAGCGATTCTATGATTCTCAAGCATCTTTGGTTTACTCTAAACGGATCAATCATCCGTAACATAACCCTGTATCCTGCATGCCTGCGCCATATGTTGAAGATGCACCTGCCCCGGTTAAATTCCCATATTCTGTATATCCTAAGTCGTGCCCACGTTGAGTCTCTGGGTATATATAAATGTTTTCACCACCATGCGAAAGAAAAGAAGAGAAAGGAAAAAAACGAGCGAGTTGATGCTTCGTTTAGAAAAGACCGTCAATCTCGCCAGTCTCCAGGTCAACGTCGACGTTGAGGTAACCGGGCGCGGTGGGGAGACCGGGAATGGTCTGGATGTCCGCAGCCAGAGCGTACCTTGAGTCAAGTTAGCACAGTCGTTTTTACATGCAGTGGAAAGATGGCACCGGGAATGACTTACAGGTAGCCTGCACCGGCGGCCATCCGAACGTCTCGGATGGGCACCGTGAAGCCAGTCGGCGCACCCTTCAGATCAGGGTCGTGCGACAGCGAGTACTGGGTCTTGGCGACGCAGATGGGCAGGTTGCCGTAGCCCTGCTTTGTGTACGTGTCGATCTTCTTCTGGGCGAGCTCGCTGAACTCGACAGCGGCAGCACCGTACATCTTCTGGGCAATGGCCTCGAGACGCTTCTCGATCGAACCCTCCAGGTCGTATGTCAGCTTGAGCTCCTTGGGCTTCTCGCTGGCAGCAATGACACCCTTGGCCAGGTCAACAGCACCAAGACCGCCCTTGGCCCAGTGGTCAGCAAGGATGGCGTCCTCAGCACCGGCGGCAAGAGCCTCTTCACGAAGGACGGCAATCTCAGCCTCCGTGTCGGTGGCAAACTTGTTGATGGCAACGACCACAGGGATGCCAAAAGACTTGGCGTTGGAGATCTGCTTCCGGAGGTTGACGCAGCCAGCTCGGAGGATCTCGACGTTCTCCTGCTTGTAGACGGCGTCGAGGGGAGCGCCAGGCGCAATAGGGGGACCACCGCCGTGAACCTTGAGGGCACGGATGGTGGCGACAACAACGACAACGTCGGGCACGAGGCCTGAGGTGCGGCACTTGATGTTGAAGAAGCGCTCGCCGCCCATGGTGAAGTCGAAACCGGCTTCGGTGACGACAAAGCCCGTCTTCTCGTTGTGGTCCTCATCAGGCTCAGTGCCCGCAAGCTTCAGAGCCAGCCTATCGGCAAGGATGGAGCTCTGACCGATGCTGATGTTGGCAAAGGGGCCGGCATGGACAAAGACGGGGGTGCCCTCAAGCGTCTGCATCAGATTGGGCTTGATAGCATCCTTCATCAGGGCGGTAAGGGCACCGCCGGCACCAATGTCCTCGCAAGTGACGGGGTCTCCGCTGCGAGAGGTGCCAATGACCATGCGGCCCAAGCGCTCGCGCATGTCGGCAAGATCGGTGCTGAGAGCCAAGATGGCCATGCACTCACTGGCAACCGAGATGTCGAAGCCCGTCTCGCGAGAGTGACCCTTCTCGGTAGGGGCGGTGCCGACGGTGACGCCTCGGAGGTGGCGGTCGTTGACATCCAGCACACGTCTCCAGGTGATGGTCTCCGGATCAATGTCCAGGCGGACGAAGCGGCGGATTTCCTCGGGAGTCAGATCGTCGGGGTTGGTCTTGTCGATTCCAAGCTTCTGGAGGCGGCGCAGCATCGAGGGCAAGAACTTCCTCACGCCGTTCTTAGCAGGCACCAAGCGGCGGTAGAGAGGGCCGTCCTTCTGGGTGTTTTCATGGAACATGCGCGTCTCGATCGCGGCAGCCAACAGGTTGTTCGCCGCAGTAATGGCGTGGATGTCACCCGTGAGGTGCATGTTGAACTCGTCCATGGGGATGACCTGGCTGTAGCCACCGCCAGCGGCACCACCCTTGATGCCGAAAGTCGGTCCCTGGCTGGGCTGTCGGACGTTGGCAAAGGACACTCGGCCAACGTGAGCACCCAATGCCTGAGCCAAGCCCATGGTCGTGGTGGACTTGCCCTCACCAAGAGGAGTAGGGGTAATGCCAGTAACGACGACGTAGCGGCCATTTCGTCGGTGCTCAAGTCGCTTCAGCAGGCTGAGGTCGACCTTGCCCTTGTAGGCTCCGTACGGCTCCAGCTCGTGAGCCTCGATACCGATTTCCGTGGCAACACGGGTGATCTGCTTGGGGGCCTGGGCCCGGGAGATGGCAATGTCTGACGGGACGGGAGACTTGAGGTGCAGAGGGAGAGGAACAGTCTGCCTGAGCTTCTCCTTCTCGAAAAAGTTGTTTGCAGCCTCGACGACGTTCTCCAAGAGCATGGCAACGGTCATGGGACCAACGCCGCCCGGAACGGGAGTAATGACGGAGGCGACCTCGGCGGCGGAATCGAACTCGACGTCACCCACGAGTCGCTGACCTGACTTGCGCGTCGCGTCGGGGATGTAGTTGGTTCCCACATCGATGACAACAGCGCCGGGCTTCAGCCACTCGCCCTTGACAAAGTTGGGGGATCCAATGGCAACGACGACGATGTCTGCGTTCTGGAGGTGGAACTGGAGGTTGGAGGTCTGGGCGTGGCAGATGGTGACGGTGGCATTGGCTCGGTTCAGGAGTTGAGCAACGGGGCCACCGACAATGTTGCTCCGGCCGATGACGACGGCATTCTTGCCGGCAAGCTCAACACCAGCCTCCTTGAGCAGAGTGATGACTCCCTTGGGGGTGCACGGAGTGAAGATGGGCTGGCCGCCGCGCTTGGCGAGCTCGCCAATGTTGTTGGTGCCGAATCCGTCAACATCCTTCTCGTGGGAGACGGCGGAGGTGATGTTGGGCTCAGAGATGTGCTTAGGAAGAGGCAGCTGGACGAGGATACCGTTGACAGAGTCGTCGTTGTTGAGGCGAAGGATCTGATCGAGGAGCTCGATCTCGGCAATGTCTTCGGGGAAGTGAAGCAGCTTGCAGTCGATGCGGGCCTGGAGAAGACGGCATGTTAGTCCACCACTGCCTTTGGAAGATGTAGGCGATTCTCGTCTATACGCACCTCTTCAGCGGCCTTGAGCTTCATGCGCACATAGGTAGCTGCGAGAAGATGTCAGCAGCGGTTTAAAAAACAGCCGATACATGTTGCTCCTTCTAGGAGCGTGGGGTCAGATAAGGATTGAGGGGGGGTTGGACTTACTGGAGTCGGAGCGATCGCCAACTGATACCAAGAAGAAGAAAAAAAGTCAGTTACAAAATTTTCGCACGATACCAAGGAGATTGGGGGATGAGGGTATGAACGAGAGTCTGCCTCTTTACTCTGCTCGTGCCCTCTTTCGTTTGTCCTCGTCTTTTTCATCAAGCGGAGAATATTCTCTCGCGAGCTTCAGTCGTACCTTGGATGATCCTCAAGCTGGGGCGGTAGCGGGGGTTCTTCTTCTGCTTCTCAGCAATTTCTGCGCCCAGCCGTTCGCGAATGGCCTTGGCAATGGCATTGCCGTCGAGCTTCGTGGCGACCATGGCGGCGGCTGTCGTCCTGAACGATCGCTGCTGCTGGAGAATCGAGGGCAGTCTGCCGGTGGAGAGCAGAGGCGATGGCAGAGGAGAGGATGGAGAGAATGGAGAGAGGGAGGACGGGATAGTCACCGACGCTGACGCTGCAGAAATATGGCCGACCCGGACTGAGCCAGGGCTCGGGTTAGTGGACACAGGCCCTGGCGCAGCCGCTGAGGGGCCCCAGGTCGCCGTGGCCAGACCCCTGTGGCTGCCGGAAACAGGCGGCAAGATGCGGGCGACTGCCACTGAACTCCGAGATAGTCCACGGCGCAACGATGCTGTGCAGGGCGATAGCGGTCGGAGGGACGCTGCCATGCGCAGGCGCTGGTGAGGTGCCATTGATTGGATCTGCCTGATGCTCGTCAAATGCTGTGCTGTGATACCGTGTGGGCTGCAAGCTGTGTGTGTGTTTGTGCCTGTGAGGACGAGAGATGCCGGGTGCGATATCGCTCGTCAACCAGGTCCCAAGTCGGCGTGTTTCGGTCTTGATACGGGAGGAACAGTTCCAATGCCAGCGTGAGCATGCAAGTAAGAATCCCTTCGGACGTAAGATGATCGCAGCTCAGGACAGTTATTGACCAGGTTTTTTTCCTGCTCGACCTTGTTGTCCTCTTTTATTTTCTCTTCTTCACACTCACTGCTTCTTATTTTTTCCGGTCCAGCAACAAGCCTAATGAGGGACGACGGCACGCTATTAGTGGTTGGCTCGCTTGTCGTTGGTCCCTGCGTCGACGGTTCCGAATGGCTCAAAAAAAGTGTTTGCACTCCGAACCAACGGCCCTATTGTGTGCAGCTCGCGGGATGCACGGGGCTGTGATTTGCAGTGTCCGTACGGAACAATAAGAGAGAGGGAAAGATGAGATAAAAAGCCTCAGTCTTCAGACGAGAGAATTGAATTGGCCCTGCCCAGACCTATTACGCCGAACTGGTGGCGAGCAGCTGGGCGGATTTATAGAATTTTACTTGTAATGTCCAGCAGGGTCGATAAACCGCCATGTGGGGTGTGGATTTGCGACCAGCGGAAAGGGCTTGCTTGGACCGGCTTGGACTGGACTGAATCTGTCTCGGCCAGGACCACGTTTGCACGCGGATGGGATTGCCCTTGTAGCCCGTATGCTTGCCGGAGTTGATAAAACAATCAGTTCCGCCTTGATGATGACAGCTTCGGGCCCGTAATCAGATCCTTTGGCTTCGTCTCCGCCAGACAGGGCGGTCTGGCCAGCTCAATTGGCATCGTGTAATACGACCCAGTCTACGGCCTGGGAAAACATCGACATTCAGGGTATCGCTGGCGTCAAGCCAGCATTCATCTTCAAGCTGTGGATGAATTTGGCTCCAAGTGTCAGCAAGCCGACGTGGCAAGGGAATCTGTAGCATCGACTGGGAATAATGCAGTTGATCTGTAGCTCGGTAGGTAGCATTCATGTACGATCGTACATGGACAAGATACCGAGTCGCAGAGGAGTGAGACTGGCGCTTGATATATGGACATACCGCTCTTCTCTGCCTGTCAAGTCTATCCAGGCAAACGTACTTGGCATGGTACTACGTTGCAGTTTGTCTGAATTGGATAGAATTGAAGTGTAAGGATTACTACGCTGTCTTACTCCCACGTCATCGACAAGCAGCCGGTCGACGGCCGTCGTCAACGAGTCGATCAAGGGCTTTGAAGGAGGTTCATTGCGGGCCAGGCAGATTCTCAGAAGCCAGTCTCGGCCTTTTCTCTTTTACCCTGACAATGATGGCCTCTTGCTTCTAGTATGTGATATATACTATGGCAGTAACAAGCATTATGTTTGACATGAATGAACTTTGCTTAATCGTGGGCGTGACTCAACAGAGTTCCTGTGACTCACCAGCAACTCTCCCGCTGGGTGGTGGATTGAGCCGTTATCTACAAACTACGTACAACACTGTCATGGCAAAATGGTTCGTCAACTATTATTGGCTGTATTCTAGAATATGGCAGTTGTGTGGCAGAAGCTGTTCCAGATGGGATTACCTACCTGATTGACTGCTTGTACGAGGTGTAAGAACTGCTACAAGACTCAGAGCGGTGCAAATCAGCTAGAATCCACACGTGGCCGCCAATTACTCACCTGCTAAAGTTCCCCCTTGGGCCACGCCACCAATGACTCCCCGCGCCACAACTCAAAGCCCCACCAAGACGCACAATTATCGCCAAAATTTCAAAGCACCACCACCTCCAACTGCGTCCTCGTGCTGGCCCATATTATATTTCCCCCCCTCCGTCCCTGGATCACCGTCTCCCTCCAGCCTCTTCCCGCAGCAGCATCACCGACCAAAATGAGACCCATCCTCCTTGCCGGGCACGAGCGTGCTCTCACCCAGATCAAGTACGTCGCTTGCTCCCCAAGAACCGAGGAGGAGGAGGAACAGCAGCTTTGGCGACAGCTTCTTCTTCTTCTTCCTGACCAGCCCCTCCCTTCTCGCGACCCTGCCCAACCAATGAGAGGCCCCCAGCTAACCAAAATTTGCTGCGCTCAAGATACAACCTCGACGGCGACCTCATCTTCTCCGTCGCAAAGGACCAGCAGATCTGCGTCTGGTTCTCCCACAATGGCGAGCGCCTAGGCACCTACCACGGCCACGTCGGCGCCATCTGGACCGTCGACGTCGACCCGACTTCCACCTACATCGCCTCCGGCTCGGCCGACAACACCATCCGCATGTGGGAGGTCAAGACGGGCAAGTGCCTCAAGACCTGGGAGTTCCCCACCGCCGTCAAGCGCGTCGAGTTCAACGAGGACGGCACCAAGCTGCTGGGCGTCACCGAGAAGCGCATGGGCTACCTCAGCAACATCGTCGTCATCGACATCAACCCGGACATCACCGCCGAGCAGACCGACGAGAAGTCCCTGACCATTGTCTGCGACGAGAGCAAGGCCACCGTCGCCGGCTGGAGCAACGCCAGCAAGTACATCATTGCCGGCCACGAGGACGGCAGCGTCAGCCAGTACGACGCTAAGACCGGCGAGCTGCTCGACAACGTCCCCATCCACGAGCTCGACAAGCCCATCGTCGACCTGCAGTGGTCACCCGACAGGACCTACTTCATCACTGCTTGCCGAGACAAGACCGCCAAGGTACGGCCTCTTTCAACTACATATGTATATTCTGCTTGACGTGATATCTCGTTTGCTCACACGGAACTTGCTCTCTTCAGCTCATCTCTGCTCGCGACCTCGCCACCCTCAAGACATACGTGGCCGACACGCCCCTCAACAGCGCCACAATCTGCCCCAAGAAGGACTTCGTCATCCTGGGAGGTGGTCAGGCCGCCATGGAAGTCACCACCACCTCCAACCGCCAGGGTCGATTCGAGGCCCGCTTCTACCACAAGATCTTCGAAGACGAAATCGGCCGTGTCCGCGGCCACTTCGGTCCCCTCAACACCGTCGCCGCCGATCCCACCGGCCGCAGCTACGCCAGCGGAGGAGAGGACGGTTACGTCCGTGTTCACCACTTCGACAAGGGCTACTTTGACTTCAACTACGAGGTGGAGAGGGAGCGGATGAACCGAGCGCAGCAGTAAATGCCGAGAGAAAGACGAACAAACCTCTTTACCTTTTCATCTCTTTCCCTTTTGGCCTAGATTTGTTTGAAATCGAAAGAAAGCGAAAAGAGGGGAGAGAAGGGATGGGGAAAGTTGGGGGAAAGGGAACAAAAAACAAATGACCAGTCTGTGTTTTCATGATTGCGGACTGCTTGCTTGCTTGCTTGCATGCGTTACATATATAGTACGGCGTTATGGGAGGGCGGATAGGGAAACAAACAAACTTCTTCTTCTTGAGAATGGAGGGGCAGGGGACGGGGAAGAAAGGGAGGGAGGCTATGTAATCCATACTAGGTAATCTCCTTTATGTTGTAGTAGAAAGACGGGAAAAGAAGAGGAAATATTGTGCCACTTCAGGTTTGATCCAGCTTCTCCGTCGAAGGACCGAGGGATGAGGTGAGAGAGAATGGCAATTTTGTCTTGCAGACGGTGTGAAGTTACCATAGAAGATGCGCTGGAAATATGGCTTCCTGACCATCTGCTCCTGAGATGGAGATGAGGAAGAATCGAGGGAAATGCTGGAAATACTGGTAGTCAAACCGAAGTGTACACCAGCCATGCAGCAAATACAAATGCGTACTATTTCTCAATTTGAGCAGGCCTCTCTTCATTACTACTATACACCTACAAAAGCAAACCCCCATCTTTTTTTCTTCTTTTGACACAATCAAAGTCCCAGCACTGTCAATGTCGATACCGTTCCTACAAGACTCAATGCCCGGGACCATAAAAGGTAACACTGTCCTGTACCGACAGGAGTTTTTATCCACCCCCTTCCTTCACCAAAAAAGCTCAATGCAAATCCGCATTAACCCCCCCTTAGGTTTCAAACGCCAAATATGGTTTTCGTCAACAAGGTACAAAAAACGAGATCCCTCATCTAAAAAAACAAATTCATACCCACAGGGGCCTAGACAGCCCTTTGTTTCTGTGCATTTGCATCTTCATCTCTTCATTTCTTCTTCTTAACCGGGGTCTTGGTCTTCTTGCTCTTCGAGGAGCTACCGGCGACGGAGTTGGTGTTGGAAGCGACGCTGGAGGCTCTGGACGGGGAAGCTGAGCTAGGCTTGCTGGACTTTGACTTGACGTTATCAAGATTCTTATTCTGAAAGGACAAGACATGTCAGTAACCGATACTAGCACTTGAAAGTGTTCACAATTCATCACGTACCTTGACGCCGTTCTTGGACTTCTTCTTCGCCGGTGCCATGCTCAGGATGCTGTCCTCATCATTCTCCTCGTCCGGATCCCGCTTGGACTTGCCATTGACCCCATTGGAGGTCTTTCCGGTTGTAGCTGCGGGACCATCCTCAAACTCCTTTACGATAGTTGTGAGCAGCGTGTTGCATCGTCGCGACAGCTCAATCGGCGTGCGGCTAAGGAAGAACCAATCGAAACGGAAAAGGGGCGATTCGCGGATGTCGTCCCGCATCTTTTCATACAGGCCCTCGGAGTCAATACCATAACGGTCCAGAAGGACCAGCAGGAACCTGTCCTCTTCTTCGGTGTAGACCTTCTTGTTGGTGGTGGACACCGAGTAGTTGATCTTCAGCTGCTGGAGAGGAACACGGTACTGCTGCATCTTCTTGCGAAGAAGCTTGCCCTGGTGATCGATACGCCTGGTGCGCTCCTCTCCATCTTCGATAATCTTGATGTACTTGGGCCAGTCGGCGATTTCCTTGTAACGCTGCCAGAACACCTTGGCATAAGCCCGAATCTCCGCCGTCGTCTTGCTGTCAATCTCATTGGAAATGCCTTGGTAGTCGGTACGACCGTATTTCCCAGACCCGTTGATGAACTGCTGGAAATCACGGCGGTTCCAGTTGCCAAACCCTTGGGTTGAAAGCTCCTCCTTTTCAGCTCGTTCCTCCTCTGTCAGTGGGGTTGCGTTATCAATCTCCTGCTGTTCGCGTGCCCTCTGGGCTTCGCGCTCCTCTAGGGTATCGTCATCGCCATCTGCCAATGGCACTTTGTACCCAATCTCTTTGCGGTAGAAGGCGGTCTCCCTGTCCTGTAGCTCTTGCAAACGGGGTGGATAGAATTGGTAGTCGTGTATCGCGACCTGTTTGGGCGCTCGGGGAGCCTTCGGCTTGACCTCAGTCTTGGGGTTGGGATACATGGCCTGCCGAAAGTACTTGTCCATGGAGTAGCTCTGCTCTCTGCGCTCTCGCTTCGAGGGGTTAATCCAGTTCATGCCAATGTTCTTCTTGGCCTGTGCGAAGTTTTCTCCATTCCACTCATAGGCTGATTCCGACGTGAATTTTTGAAGGTCCTCGATGCCGAGTTTCTCGTATCTGGCATTCAGCTCCTTGGTTCGGGACTCGCCTCGACTCAGAATCTCATCAATGTCCTCATCATCGAGCTCCTTGTCCTTGTTTGCCGCGTCGTCTGTGGAGCCCTTGGACTGGAAGACCTTCTCAGCGCCATGCTGAATCATTGACAAGAGCTCGTCTTTGTTTGCAGCGGCCTTGGCTGCGACCTGAGCGCGGCCCTGCTGAATAACGACCTGGTCGAGCCGCAGCTTCTGGGCTGCTCGTTCGAGGACTTTTTCTTCAATAGCATTGTCGGTCACGAATCTGTATACAACAACCTGCTTCGTCTGTCCAATACGATGTGCGCGGTCCATGGCCTGCAAATCAGCCTGAGGGTTCCAGTCGCTGTCGTAGAGAATGACAATGTCGGCCGTCGTCAGGTTAATGCCCAGTCCACCAGCCCTTGTCGTCAACAAGAAGACAAACTTGTCTGAGCCTGGCTTATTGTACTCGTCAATGGCCGCAATTCGATCCTCGTGCGCGGTGCCACCGTCGATACGGCAGTACTTGTACTGTCTGAAGACGCAGTAATCCTCGAGAATATCGAGCAGTCGACTCATTTGAGAAAAGATCAAGACTCTGCTGCCCTGCTTCTGCAGTCGCGCAAGCAGCTTGTCCAGGACCTTCATCTTGCCAGCGTTGTAAATCAGATGCTCATCGGTTGTGTAAGGAGGACCCGGCTCAGCACCTTCGAAAAGGTAGGGGTGGTTACAGCACTTTCGCAGCTGCATCACGATGTTCAAGAGTCTCGTCTTGGACTCTCTCTTCCCTCCGGCGCCGTTGACCGCATCAATATCCTTTTCCAGGATCTTCTGGTACCATTTGACCTGCATCTCTGACATGCCCAGGTATACGTTGATCTCCTTCTTCGGCAGAAGACTCTTTTCCACATCGGCCTTGACACGCCGGAGCAAGAATGGACGCAGAACTCGATGGAGTTGTTGCACCACCTGATCCTGGTCTTGATCTTGTCCGGAAAACCATTGGTCAAAGGCGTCGGCATCGCCAAAGACGTCGGGCAAAAGGAAGTTGAGCAGAGCCCAAAGTTCGTGGAGGTTGTTCTGCAGCGGGGTGCCCGTGATAAGCAGTCGGTTGCGAGAGTTGAAGAGTCGGATGACCTGCGACAGGGAAGACTCTTCGTTCTTGATACGATGAGCCTCGTCAATGATGATGTATTCCCAGGCAAATTTCTTGAGGTGGGCCTTCTCCCTCAAAACCATTTCATAGCTCGTAATGCAGACATCAAACTTCTCGTCGACCAGGCGTTCGTTGATGAGCTCGTGGCGTTCATCCTTGGCACCCTGGAGTACCAGGACATTGACCTCCGGGGTCCATTTCGCAAACTCTCGCTTCCAGTTGTCGAGCGTTGACTTGGGCACAGTCACAAGATGGGGACCAGTAATACCCATGATGTGACGGAGATAGCCCAAAAACGAGATGGTCTGCAAGGTCTTTCCGAGGCCCATTTCGTCGGCCAAGATGCCTGAAATACCGTTTTCATGCAGCGAGATCAGCCAGTTGAGACCGGCAACTTGGTAGTCTCTCATGGTGCCCTGGATGAAGGAGGGAGACTCTCTAAAGACTGTATCCGCGGAGCCACCGTGCTTCTCATCGCTCAAGAGCTCCGCATCTTCTTCGGCTTCAGTTCGTCGCCTTCTCTCGCTCGTAGCGCCTCCTTTTCTACCGGCGCCCTTCTTGGCTCGAGCGGCTTCGGCATTCTGATTGTCGATCTCGGCCATGATTTCACGGATTTTGGGGTCGGGATTCGTCTCGATGAAGTGCCGGAACAGGTCGGTCAGGCCGAGCAGGTAACGGAATCTTCGAATGGTATCATCTTCCTGTAAGAAAGAGAAAGAGCAAGCGCAAGACGTGTCAGTATCAGTTGCAATTCCAAGTAGACGCTGTCTTATAGCCGAGTTGACTGGGGAGAGGCAAACCTTTGACTCTCCAAGGCGGTCATGCTTCTTCCCGAAGATGCTCCGACGCAATTGGTTCGCCTCGCTGCGTCGCTTCCTACCGTCTGTGAGGGGCTCGCCAACTACGCTGCTGGCTGTGGTGTTGGGATTGGTGTCGGAGTCGGTATAGTCGGGAGTCTCGTCGACGTCCTGGGGTTGAGCTCGGTCAGTGTCATCCATCAAGAGGCAAGAGGGGAGCGCTTCCGATGCCACAGACGACAACTCACCATTTCCTCGACATGAGGCTGTTCCGGGGCGTCAGACATGGACGCGTCAGTGTCGACGCCGCTGGCTCGAGGTCGCGGAGCCATTGCGCCTAAAACCTCAGAAGGTCGGAGGGGAGCCTCTTTACGCGACTTTGCGTGCACGAAACGCGCTTCAGATGCGCCGGTTGCCGGCAGTGCGAATCGCCGGAGGGAGATGCCGATGATCCGCGAGGGCACGGGGGCGTCTGGAGATGGTTTGGGGCGGTGGTGGAAGCCCTGGACTGCGCTCCCTGCTGCTGGCGGCAAAGGAGAAGATGTTTTTTCGAGAATGCGCCTGGCAAGAGGCTCGACGTGCTCATCCAGAGGTGGTCGCCTTTTGGGCCTAGCGCGCGTGCAGGTCCCACCCCTTGTCTCTCCGCGCCAAAGACAGCCGATTGTGCTCTAATTGGCCCGCTTTCTTCGACACTGGGCTGGAACAAGGAAAGTCCGGGAATAATCCGTGGCCAACGACGTCAGCAGTGTCAGGGGCTTCTTTTTTTCCGCCGCCGCAAGTGCAGAACATGCGGGCAGTTGGCAGGGCAGCGTTTATTATGTAGTTATCGCAGCAGCAAACCTTTGAACTGCCAGTCTGTTGCTCGGTTCATGTACCTCTATCGACACAGATTACCTATATCAGAGAAACTATAGAAATCAGCAGCAGCTCGTGTCACCCTCGAAAGTGTTCCCATTCGAGCATAGGTACCTAGTTGGTTATCTTTTCTCTTATGTATAGCAATCGATACGGGACTTGGACAAGCACCTCTTCTCAGCGCTATCAGCGTCACGTGCAATTCGCCAGGGTAAGGTGTCGACCCATCAACCCCACGTGCCGTTCTACCGCCTTCGCCCGCCTTTCGAACCTGCTGACCTCGAACTTTGCCGCTCTAAAGCAGTTTGCAGGATTTCCCCTCCAGCGTTTGATCCGGTTTAGGAACCTTCACCAACCAGTTTGCTCTCCCTTTTTAGCAATTTCCGAAAGCTTCAACTCAAGAGCTGTGGCTCTGGGTGTAGATCCTGGCGCGTCCCTGCCGTGCGACCCCTAAAACACAGTCAGCGCAGCGAAATTTCCCTCCCTGAGCTGAGCCTGCCCACCCCGGAACTCATCAGGTTTATATAAGCCCCCCTGGTATGTATGTAGGAACACAAAGCTCCTGCTTGCTGTTACGCCACCCTAACTCGACATCTACTAGATCGCTACACGCACGCACACCCGCAGTCGCGCACCTTCGCTGTAGCAAACAACCCGCTCGGAAGATGGACTCGTCGAAAGCCCGATCCGCCGTTGGGAAGCAGGCGGCGCAGTATGACTCACCCGAGCAGCTCCTCGACGTCTTCAAGGCCGCAGCGCTCTCGGTCACCAAACTCTACAAGACTTCCGCCAAGGCCGAAGCTCGCGCGCGCACAGATGGATACCAGGAGTGCTTGGACGAGCTGCTCATGTTCCTCGATAAGGAAAATATTGGCTTGGACGATGGAGAGGGGTGGAGGATCAGGAGATGGGCCACGGAAAGGCTGGACGGTCGGGACGCGGCACAGCAGAGCGCGGAGAGCGAGGATGAGACCGACAAGGGCGAGAGGAATGCGTCTCCCGAGATTGCTAGAGCCAGTACTGAACCATCCACCTCGTCACCAATTCAGATCCAAACGCGAACCGTTTCTCCCCCGGCCGCCGTCCCCGTCCATGTCTCTCCGATGAGCGAAGAGCCAACACACTTTGTTGTGCCCACGCAAGAAGCCTTTACGTTCCATTCGTCATATCCGAACATCGCCACCTTGGATTTATCAGATCAACGACCGCAGGAGCCGCCCTCTTTCTCACCCGCATTCAGTTCCAAATTTGGAGGTAGCTCTTCCAGAGGCGGCCCTCGGACCTCATCACATCTCAGTCGAGGGGCCGGAACGAAACGAAGGATGGACTTTGACGACTTCTTCGGCGGCTGCCTAGGGGGCAAAGACCCCCTGGGCAACGGAAACAAGCGCAGTCGACACACATGACCGCCTGCAACTTCAAGACAACATATCTTCTTTGTTCATTATTTTTTCTACCAGCGATCACCATGTCAGTCAGAGAGACTAGCACGCCGCATATTTGATATACATCGGACGGGAACATAGGGCAACTGTGGGACATGGCAGGGAGGTAGCATAGATGTCAGGGGCGTTATAACATTTTTGGAGGAAACAAACTGCATTTACGGTGTCGGAAGGTTGAAGGATTCTCGCCATACATACCTGGGGCCTGTTTCGAATAGAGGGTACGAATGGGAGTAATCTACCTGTATGTAGCACTTACACTGTGAATCAGAGTTCACATGCCAGCTCTGAAATGTCTGGACGAACTGTTATTTCACTCTTGCATTTTCGTTGTGCAATGGTTATTCCAATGTTGCTCACTACTGTGTACACTTGACGGTAAGATTGGCAAGACCGCTTTCGTAGGAAGTCGTAACGCCATTCAGCGATCCTCCTCATTGCCTGAGTGGTTAGATGACTCGATGCCCAGCTGAGCTCGGAGTCTGCTGTTCTCCGCTTCGAGGTCATCTAACTGCTGCTCGAGAACTTCCATTCTCTCTGTAGCGCCCAGCACCACCTCTTCGGATATCTTGGCCAGCCTCCATAGACGAAGGACGACAATCAGGGAGCCGATGGACTCGGTAAGACCTCTGGAGGTAACATCTATAATGAAACTCGCAACAATGACGGCAGAATCGAAGAGATGGAACCAAGAGGCAAGGTAGCTTCGGGCTCAAAAATTAGAACACGGATTAAGGGACATTTCGACAAATGCATAGACGAAAAAAAAGGAAACCCAAAAGATTATATCGTAACATGGAAAAAAATCAGACAGAAAGTAGTATCCAAAACAGGAATAAAAGAAGCGACCCAAAATGCTTTGACCTACCTCAGCCCAAAAGCAAACAGACACGCAAACAGCTCGAGCAGAAAGAGGCTGCTAAACACCAGACCGGCGATTTCCAGGCCCTCTGTGACCTTGTCCACCCAGGGCTCGTCGTTCTCGTGCATCTCGCAGGCAATCAGCTGGATGAAGACGTTTGCGAGCAGCGCGGCCACGTCCAGCGCGACGACGCTCATGACGGCGAAGTGCTTGGTGCGGGACTCGAGGAGGCGCTGGCTGGACTTGCGACATTGTCGCCAGAAGCGCGAGGAAGACGATGCAGGGGAGGACGGAGACACTTGGGAGGCTTGGGAGTCGTCGCTGGCATCATCGTCGTCGTCGTCATGGTAGGGGCGGAAGAATGGGGCAGATGGGCGATGTGCCATGATGGTTGGTGCCAGCCGCCTATTGAAAGGTCAATATCGAGCAGATCACGAAGCAGAATAGATAGCCGAGTCAAGACGAGCAAGTTCAGAGCAGCGCGAATGAGCTGAAATCCATCAATGCTGTATACCTAGGAAGTGCTCTGATACATAAATGGCGCTACGAAGGAAACAGCAGCTGGCATCGCAGTAGATGCATTAGCCCAGCAGGGGATCATCGAGCATCGCCCGGCTGCTCGTGATGTGAGTGGTTGAGAGCTGGAAAATGCTCGTCTCAATATGTGAAGCCCGGGAGGGGCAGAAACGGCTCTGCAGCTTCAGGCCCGGGTGAGTTTAGCCAGTGGGTAATAGTGAGAGACACGGGAACGACTTCCAGGGAGCTCAAGCAGCTGGATCTTGGGCTGCCCAGCTCTATCTGGCTCCCCCACAATGGCTGGGCCCCAGGCTGTAGCTGGCTGGTACCTTGGGCGCGGGCCACGCATTAACTGCAGTGCAGCCTTACCGCCGGAACAACTTCGGCTCTGCGTCGCGGCAGCACGAGGCTTTCAAAGTGACGATTGTTTCCATCTCGAATTCTTCCCCAGCGTCTGCCTGTTCACATCCGTACTGTCCCTTTCGTCGCAGACAATCGTGCTGTCGCGTCCGATATCGCTGCAGCCAGTTAATCCAGGTCAGTGCCATCTCGTCTTCCCGGCCAATCTTTGACCTTGTAGGCTGCAGAACCTAAAACAGCCGCGCTTCAGGGCTTAGCCAGAGGTTATTCCCAATCAGCACGGGGGGGCGCAGCCTCACCTCTTTTTCCCCTTCTCTCTTCTCCCCGTTCCATCCAGGCCTCTTCCTTGCTCCACCAGTCCGCAAACATTCAACGCTGATGCCATCCTTGTCAATTCAGTTATCCCAGCAGAGACTCTGTCGATTCATTCGGTCAAAGCACAATGTCGGACGCAGACAAGCCTGAGGCAATCCCCGAGGGGGAGCGTGAGCCGGAGCACGAGACTGCGGCCAGTGAAGAGGTGGGTTTGCTTTTGTTGACGCGCGCTTCGAAGCGAGAGCCTGTTACTTGATGGATCTGACACGCCCGCTCGCTAGGAGGAGATTCAGGCGATGAAGCGCCGAGTTGCGGAGATGGAGGAGGAGGCCAAGAAGCTCCGCGAGATGCAGGCGACGCTGGAGCAGCAGTCTGCCGATCTCGCCGACGACAAGGAGTCTGTGGATGCGCGCAGCATCTTTGTGGGCAACGTCGACTACTCGGCCTCGCCCGAGGAGGTCCAGGCGCACTTCCAGAGCTGCGGTTCCATCAACCGAGTCACCATCCTTCTGGACAAGTTCACCGGACAGCCCAAGGGGTAAGCATGGCATTTTACGAGCCTTCCCTGCTTTGCACCACCATTTCCCCTCGCTGTTTCTTAATCACTATTCATACTGACGACGGTGCTTTTCCCCCTCTCTCAGCTACGCCTATGTCGAATTTACCGAACCCAGCCTGGTGGCCCAGGCCCTCGTCCTGAACGAGAGCGTTTTCAAGGGACGCAACATCAAGGTCACTCCCAAGCGCACCAACATTCCTGGCATGAGCCGCGGCCGTGGAAGAGGAGGCTTCCGCGGTGGCGGTCGAGGATTCCACGGACGCGGTGGGTTCCCCCCTCGCGGCGGCTACCGTGGCGGTTACCGGGGCCGTGGACGAGGCTACGCCCCTTACTAGGAGCAAGGACGTGTTTCTTCAAGCACGACACCTGCTGAGAGTAACGGGTTGTGCGACGAACCTGTAGGTACCTCGTCTGAGGGGAGGTTCATCATCCACCGCCACTAGAACGGTAGCTTGCTTGCTTTTCTTTGTTTTTCTTTCTTTTGGAGAACCATGGCGGATATTGTTTTTCTCCTTCTTTTTCTCTATGCAGACGACGAAAGATATCCAGCACCTAGGTTGGCATAATTGAGGAGAAGGGCTGGGAGGGCACACGGAGGGTCACGAGAGACTACAATGAGAAAGTAGTAGAGGGGAGAGTGGCGCCCAGTGTGGCTTTTGATGGACAAATGCCTGTCATTCAGTAGGTAGCTGGACTCAAGTTGAGAAGGGCAGGGACGGAATATGGGACGAGCTTGTGTGTATAGTATCAGAACTTTGACAAAGGGAAAGGATCTGGAGTTTTAGGCCTTGGTATTGACGCCAGATGCTAATCAGCAGGTTAGATGAGGAAGTAAATTTGATTTCTCTCCTTGTTGGCTTTGGGCGGACAGCGATCTCACTCATGCTGGTGCAGTACATCTAACCGTCGGCCTCTGGCCGAATACTTTCGTCACCGTTTTCGACAACGTGTGATTGTCCAATATGGTTGAATATTCGCATATCATGTCGCAGCGACGTCTTTTGGGTACTCTTATGTACTTACAGTAGCGGCACGCCCATCATTGGATTTATTACCCGCCCTAATATTGACGCCATCACCACCTTTGTTCGGCCCATGCGCGCATCATAGAGACAGGTTGTACGGCAAATCCATACCCTTAACGGTTGACGTCTTTATGTATATATCTATAGCCGTGAAATCACCGAATGGATCGAGCAAATGAGACGACGAACTCACCCACCATACGATGGCAAAAACGGCCTTGACGGTGGCGATCCCATTCTATCCTCCTCAGTTTACATGCTGTACTCTATGTACAATATTTAATCACGTATACAGTAGATATGTGAGTTTTTGCGTCTGATTCTTAAAGAGCAGCGTCTCTCTTGGTTTGAGCGTTATTACAATTCCGGTCCCTTTCCAACTGATCCTTCGAGCCATTATGACCCTGGATCAACTTGTATAAGCGAATGCCGGTACCTTTTTTCGACGCTGGATGTGGACTGGGTGTTATACGCAGGAGCTGGGGGACTATCTGGCATCAAGATTGAATACGTAGCCTTTACCAGCACAAGTCTTACAATCTGAGGGTTAAGGCTCAAGCCCGTTATTCTACGGAGTTTAGAACGAAGAGAACCGCAGTATTCCACGTTTTGCAGATGTCTGAGTAATCGGAGCAATGACTTTGACGGTGGAGGATCTGCTCTAAGCCGCTAGTACTGTATTATTGTACATTACACATGATGACTTGGATGCCATCCAGCCAAACTGCGCCTTAGACAGCTGACTGACTACACACAGTGACTGTTGGTCATCAAACGCTCACAAGCGCTTCCTTCATCAACCTGGTGGTTGGGCAAGATTACTGAGTAATGACGGGCGAAGCCCCAATGACAATAAGATTTGGCAGCATTTGTCAAGGATGGCTGTGTCTCTTGTAGGGGTCCCAAGACCTTGTCATGATACTGTGGGCGAAGCATTTAAGCACCTTGAGAGCCTGAGAACCTTGAAGTTCTCCAGGTACACGCTACAGTCAATAACCGCAATGGAACGCCGCCGTGAAGGAGCTCCACCCCGGAACGGAGGGCAGTAATACTAAGGTAATACTATGTAGTACGAGGTATCGGTGAATTTCTCGCCATCTCATGGCTTCCAGGGGCAAAATTTTCAAGTCGGACGCCTTGCGGTTGGCTCGAACGTCATGTACAGTAGGGCGTGGTTCCGGCGCCAGGGTCTCGATGCATGTACTCGTTTTCTCGCGCGGTTATTCTGTCATCGATGCTCGGGGACCCTCAGCCATCACGACAGGTACCCGTACCAGACTGTATTCCATTGGATTCGTACGACAAAAAAAATCAAAGCATCAGCACGGGGCTGCGTGTTACTCGGGAGGACCATCCAAGGAGACGTCCAATCAAACGCCACGCAGCGGCGACTAGCAGCGCGCAAGAGCGAAGCTTCCTGTGGCTGCTCTGTGCCGATTCCCCGTGGATCGTGATGGCGTCGTGGGCAATGTACCCAGGAACCGTCTATGCGTTTCTAGTCTGTTTCCGGGGGGGGAGGAAGGGCGTGTGAGTCTTCATTCAGTGCTGCCACATGGTGAAAAACAAAAGAAGAGATTTCTGTAGGGGTAGGTAATATGAGTATTGGAGTCTTGACGCTCAGAAACAGCATCGTGAAGCCCGTGTCTGTAATACCTTAGTAGGTAATACTTAGGTAGAGCGGCAACGGCAGTCTAAGGAGGCCAAAGGAGGCCGCCTCTTTGGCTCCAGTCCCTACCCTGGCCGCGACAAACAGGCCCCGTCCAAGCGCCTGAGCAGCGCTGCTGGGAGGGGATTCCACTTGTCAGCCCGCCTCTGCAATCCCTGGATTCCATCTCCTCCATCATCAACCGGCTGCATCTTTGCTGGCACACTGACCACCAAGTCACCGCCGCCTCGTTCCTCTTGCAGTTCTCGACTTCCGGCCTTTATTCCTCGAGGTGCTGCCCGGCACGAGATCGTGTCACGTGCTCCTTATCGCGCCCGCCACCCAGACCCGGGACTCAGCCATAGAGCGGGGAGTCTGGCCTGCACTGCACAGCCCCAAGTCTTGTCTGCTCAGCATATCCTCGCCTCGTCCCGCCGTCACTTTGACTTGCAGCGTCGTCGCCGTTCGTTCTCGTCCTCCTTTCTACCGTGCAGCAGAACGTCCACCCCGGGGCGCCCATCTCATCACCGCCGGCCTGTGCTGGTGTCCAACTCGGCCTGATTTTGACTCTGAGTGCTGTGCCTTTGTCGCAAGGCTGGTGCTGCTGTGCCTGGAGCGCCGCAATACACGACAGAGAATCTCGTCAAGATGGCGAACCGAAACGACAATGGGTAAGAATCACACCGTCTCTGCTCTTCTTGCATCTTGCTTCTCCGTCATAGGGCAGTGGAGCCTACTCAATGAATGCAGCTCTCTTCTGACACGCATGGCTTATAGGAAACCCAATCTTCGCGTTACAAGTGCGTCCCTCGATTCCAGAGCTCGCTTCCCGCCTCGGAGATCCCTACATTACTAACCTGGATGTATCGCCATAGTCATCGCCGCCGATGGACTGTACAAGCGAGATGTCTTCCGTATGTGCCCTTCCCTGCCCTGCCCTAAGTCCGTGCTGTCGAGGCACGCACC